TTTTGGATATAATTGAAGGGCGTAAAAAAATAGTGGTTTTGAAAAAAAAAAGGGGGGTTATCAAACTTCATAAGAAAGTTATGGCCAAAAAAACGAAAAAAATTCATCAGTAAAGGGGGTCTTGGGGGGGGATGGAACCGCTTCGACCACAAAAATCGATTCTCCGTCCTCGAAATACCCTAGTTTCCTATTTTTTGAGCAAAAAACCCAACTAAAATATGAGCAAACCCAAAAAAATAGGCAAAATATGCAAAAAAATGGTAAAAAAAATTACTTGTAAAAATCGTTATCTACGCAAAAAATCACGTAAAATGAGTACCAACAACGCTATGTTTAGAGAACAAACAAAAAAGTTGAACATGAACATCGCAAAACTTAAACGTGCAAAACTACCCTTAAACGTATGAGGAACATAGGCTTGTGGGGTATCAAACAAATGGATTCGGCACGTTCTACAAGATGCACAACAAAAAATGTTATTATTTGGCATTTCAAAATTATTTTTTTTATTTTAATGTAAATCGTATTTTAATTAGTCCCTTCTTAATCTACGCAAAAAATCACGTAAAATGAGTACCAACATCGCTATGTTTAGACAACAAACAAAAAAGTTAGGGTTGGGTTGGGTTAGGTTGGGTTGCAACCTAACCTAACCTAACCCCCTCTTAAAATGTCCTGAAACGTCCAAAAAAGCAAAAAATTTTTTTAAAAATTTCAAAGAAAAAAACAAACAGTAAAAAATCGCAACCCAACCCCCTCATAAAATTTTATATACAGGGTGCATGGCGAATTGGAGAGGGTAAGTACATATGAAACTTTTTGATTCATTTCGAAAGGACTATCCGATGGCATGATAAAAAAGGCGTTATCCAGGACCCCCCCCCTGGCGAAATGCCCAAAAATTTTTTTTTGGATATAATTGAAGGGCGTAAAAAACTAGTAAGAAAGAAAACATAAAAAAGGCGTTATCCAGGAATATAAGGAAGTTATGGCCAAAAAACGAAAAAAATTTATCAGTAAAGGGGGTCTTGGGGGGGGTGGAACCCCCTCGACCACAAAAATCGATTATCCGTCCTCGAAATATCCTAGTTTCCTATTTTTTAGACGTCGCCCCTGTACCAACCCAACCTATTTCCCAACCCAACCCAACCCCCTCTTAAAATGTCCTGAAACGTCCAAAAAAGCAACAAATTTTTTTGAAACTTTTTGATCCATTTCGAAAGGACTATCCGATGGCATGATAAAAAAGGCGTTATCCAGGACCCCCCCCTGGCGAAATGCCCAAAAATTTTTTTTGGATATAATTGAAGGGCGTAAAAAACTAGTAAGAAAGAAAACATAAAAAAGGCGTTATCCAGGAATATAAGGAAGTTATAGCCAAAAAACGAAAAAAATTCATCAGTAAAGGGGGTCTTGGGGGGGGGATGGAACCGCTTCGACCACAACAATCGATTCTCCGTCCTCGAAATACCCTAGTTTCCTATTTTTTAGACGTCGCCCCTGTACCAACCAAACCTATTTCCCAAAATTAAAATACTTGGAATTTTTTTGAATAAAAATAAATTTGCAGCAATACCTTTTTTTATTTGCTCATCGGATAATACTTTTGGCGAGGAACAAAAAGTTTCATACGCACTTACCTCCTACAATTTTTCCCGGACTGGGAAATTAAAATACTTTTAAATTTTTTTAAATAAAAATAAATTTGCAGGAATACCCTCATTTTTAATTTGGTTACCAGATAGTACTTTCGGCGAGGAATAAAAAGTTTTATATGTACTTACCCCCTACAATTTTCCCCGGACTGGAAAATTTACTTTGAAAAACTAAAATACTTAAAAAAAATTGAAATAAAAATAATTTTGCAGAGATACCCTCTTTTTTTATTTGCTCATCGGATAGTACTTTTGTCAAGGAACAAAAAGTTTCATTTGGACTTACCTCCCACAATTTACCCCGGACTGGGAAATTGACTATGAAAAATTAAAATACTTGAAAATTTTTTGAATAAAAATAAATTTGTAGAAATTTCCCCATTTTTTTAATTTACTCATCGGATAGTACTTTTGACGAGGAACAAAAACTTTCAAATGGACTTACCTCCTAAAATTTACCCCGGTCTGAGAAATTGACTTGACCTACCCTCTAACGTTTGGCCCCGACTTGATTTTTTTTGGATTTTGGATTTTTTTTCGCATATTTGGGCATTTCAGGGCATTTTCGGAAGGGGTTAGGTTGGGTTGCACTTTTTATTTGCATTTTTGGGTATTTCAGGTTATATCCAAAATGGTTGGGTTCCAATTTTTTTGTTTTTTTTGGCATTTTAGGGCATTTCCGACAGGGGTTTGGTTGGATTGGGTTTAATTTGTTTGCATTTTTCGGCATTTCAGGTCATATCTGAATGGGGTCAGGTTGCGTTGGGTTGCATTTTTTTTGAATTATTTTTGCGTTTTTTGGGCATTTCAAGGAAGCCCTTCTCTGGGTTAGGTCGGGTTGGGTTGCATTTTTTTCGCATTTTTTGGCATTTCTGGAAGGGTTTAGGTTGGGTTGGGTTTCATTTTTTAAATTTTTTTTGCATTTAAGGAAATTTTTGAAAGGAGTTAGGTTGGGTTGGGTTGATTTTTTTTTGAATTTTTGGGCATTTCAGGTCATGTCCGAAAGGGGTTGGGTTGCATTAAAAAAAATTAAATTAAGACCAAAATTGGATTCGGAGACCTCCCTTTGAAAATAAAATTAACTGGCTTTTATCTGGATCCTATCTGTTCAATATAATATATTATGTATTTGAAACAGGCATTGCACTATTAAACCAGTAAACAAGTTTGTACATATAGAAAACGATATGTACATATAGGTCCAGATATCTATATAGAGGATCGTACATGAAAACCATATAGAAAACAATTTCCATATGGATTGCCATATTTAACCATATAAAGAAACCTATCAGGAAAAACATATAGCACAGAAACCAGATAAAACCATATAAATGACTTTAATTTCATATTTAACTATATAAAGAAACCCAACCCAAATCAAAGGGGTTAGGTTGGGTTGGGTTGGGTTGCATTTTTTTTGCTTTTTTGGTATTTTAGGGCATTACCAGAAGGGGTTAGGTTGAGTTGGGTGGCATTTAAAAAAAAATCGTATTTAAGGAATTTTTGGAAGGGGTTAGGTTGGGTTGGGTTGGGTTGCATTTTTTTTTTGCCTTTTTTGGTATTTTAGGGCATTACCAGAAGGGGTTAGGTTGAGTTGGGTGGCACTTAAAAAAAAAATTCGCCTTTAAGGAATTTTCGGAAGGGATTGGGTTGGGTTGCATTAAAAAAATTAAATTAGGACCAAAATCAGATTCTATTGAAAATGCTATAAGAAACATATAAAAAATTATCTGTCTTTTATCTGGTTCCTATCTGTTTAATATAATATATTATGTTTTTGAAACAGGCATTGCACTATTAAACCAGATAGAAGTTTGTACATATAAAAAACGATATTTACATATAGGTCCGTACATGTAAACCATATAGAAACAATTTCTATATGGATTGCCATATTTAACCATGTAAGAAAACCTATCAGGAAAGACATACCTATAGCACAGAAACCAGATAAAACCATATAAATGACTTTAATTCCATATTTTATCACATCTAGCACAGAAACCAAATAGGTAAATCCATATAAGTTCCGTTAAGTGGTAAATGGAATTCACTATTTAATCATATAGATGTCATAATGTAAACTAGGATGTTTCATATAGGACCTATAAAATCGTATAAAACCGAATTCGTTTCCTTAGTGGTCACTTGGGTATCAGAAAACCAAAACTAGTTTGTATCGATCTAATAATAATTATAATTTACCTTCCTCCTCCCTTTATTACATATATATAATTTTAGTAGATAAACTACCAAAAAACAATTTAATAAAAAAGCTTATTTTTGTATTTAATTTATTAACAAATATGCAAAAAGAAGTTTATTGGGTGTTTTAAAGTTAAATAAATTGATTTCTGCGTCGCAGTGGAGTAAAAACGTTTATTATTGTCTTTAATATCCCCTCAATATTTAACTTTCCAAATGTCCTGGAAGTCACCATTATTCATTTTTAGTATGTCTTGGAAGTAATCAAAAGTCAGTTTTTAGGATTTGTCTTGGAAGTCATCAATACTCAGTTCCAAGACGGTCCTGGAAGAAATCATTATACATATGGCACTTCCAAGACCGACCCGGAACACGTCACATGTCTCGGAAACAGTCAATATTCAGTTGTACTTGTCCCGGAACACGTCGACTTATATATATATATATATATATATATATATATATATATATATATATATATATATATATATATATATATATATATATCTAAATAATTTATTGTGTGGTGTCTAAATATAATTAATTTTATATATCAATCTCCATATTAAACTTTGTTCAAACTATTTATGTATTTTAAAAAATAATAGTAATTACACAATGCAGAAATGAAAAACAATTTTAACAAAACTCGAATTAATTTTGTATTTATAGGGTTTTGACAAATTGATTCGTGAGGGAACTAAATTTGTATTTCATTGTTTTAACAAGCAAACAACAACAATTGCATGGCAAGCTGTGCACATACATAGCTTTACATATGTATTTATAGTACTTCGAATTTTAAGTCTTTGTTATGTAATTTCCTTTCAATATTCATGCATAGTAGATATTTTGCAAAATAACATTTATTTTTTACATTAGAATTTCAGCAAGATACACAACATTCTGTATTTACTAGGTGTATAGTTTAATATTTTACAAAAATAGGTAAATGCTTTTCATTTGTTTGCCAATAAAATGAAAAAAAAACTATTCTATAAAACTCAATAAACCGTTTATTTCCATATTTGATCACCTAAAGTGTTTGCTGCATCCTTATCAAAAAGGCCCCTAAATAAATAAAACGTTCGCAATGGACGACCTAACAACCGTTAGTAATTCAATTCTTTCTTTCAGGTCCTGAGGCAAACAACTTTACCGATCGTTCCTGAAAGATTGCAAACGTTTCAGCGGCAGTTATCGCACAAGTTGGACATACCGAACGATATTAAATTCAGTATTTGCAGTCTCGAACGATCCAATAGCAAGGCAGTGGGGAACATTAAGGTATTTATAAAGCTTACTGTTTGTTTTTTTAAGCACTTTGTGGGTCAACGCAAAAACAACGACCAGTTTCTCACATTTTAGCTACTCCTCAAGTGGAAAACCATGTTTAACAACCAATTTAAATGTTTGTTTTTCTAAATTTAATACTATGTTCTGTTTAATAATTATTTAATAAATGTTTTAAATTTAGTTACTGGGAGAAGTTGCAAAACATATTTTGTAATGTTATTACTATAGAGATGAGATTTTAGTGTTATTACCTATTTGTCTACGCTAATCATAATTTTAAGTGCAATGGAATAAAAACCGTTTTGAAGAAAACGATTTCATTTGAGCCTAATTTTATTTTACCTATTTTACCTAAATTTTAACTTTCAAGAGAAATGGACCTAATTTTTAATTTTACTACCTAAACTAGTGTAATTTTACCTATTTCACATAAATTCTTATTTTTAACAGAAATTTTTATTTTTAACAGATTTTTTTTTTTAATAATCGGGTTGTCGTATTTGGTTGACATAATTATTATGTACCATGTAGTTATTTAGTTTGTACAGGATTGGTAATGTGGGTTGGTTGGAAGTGGTTGGTACTATGGTTTTAAAACTGTTCCGGCGAAAAAAAAACGGAAAAATTGTGAATTTTTCAGAAAAATTGTGAATTTTTCAGAAAAATTGACTTTTGCATATTTTTCATTTTATTCAAAGGGTTTTAAAAATGCAAAAGTCAATTTTTCTGAAAATTTACAAATTTTTACGGATACTATCCGTACACTGATATCGACCCTGGGTCGCAAAAAAACATATTCGTACTGTCTTAACATAACTTTTGTTTTATTTGACACTTTGATTTATAAACTTATAATTTTGTAATTTAACTTTATAAATCATGCATTGTTTTGTAATGGGATATTTTCAATGGACTCCTTTTTTCAAAAAAGACCCAACAAACTGTATATTTTACGTTTACGTTTATTTTTTTAAATCAATTTAATTTAATTCAATTCAATCAATGTTTAGTTTTATTTTTTCTGTAGGGATATTTTTTAAGTTGTTGATTGTTACTTTTTTTAAATTTGTAAAAATAATTAAATTTTTCCCAAAAAAGACAAATTTCCCAAGGCCTGAAGAAAAAATTAAAAAAACAGTTTTTTTCCCCAATTTTTCCGTTTTTTTTTCGACACTTTAAAACCCTAATTGGTACTGGAAATCGCGAACAGCGACGTGAATGTGACATTCCTGTGCAGTGTTGCCATGCTTTTTCATGAGATCTCAAGTTTTCCCAATCAATCTCATGTTATCATGTTTTATTTAAAAATCTCATGTATTTTCACAAATTTAAGCTCTTTTATGAAAAAGTATTTTTTAAACATTTCTATCATATGATTATGTAATAAATGTGATTTTTATTTTCAGCAATTGTATTTTAAATATGCAGTCCCGTGAAAAAAATATTAAATTGTACTTATTTTTGTAAAGTAGGTACCTAATTTAAGAATTTTCACACCTAAAACTTAACCTATTTAGGTACCTATTTTTATAAATTTGGGAACCTAAAATCTCATCTCTAGTTATTACCTATAACAGTATAACAATAACCATTACCAAACATCTGAACACCTAATATTCCTAAATATAATATTTTACTTTAAAGTCACGTGTCATAATATGCTTAACAATGTATATAACTTCCACCGCCTAATTATCATAAAATATAAAATCATTTTTTAATTTTTTTACAGCCTGAGCTTTACAAAAAGGATTTAGTCAGACAAGCGTCTGTTGAAAGCAGCAGTGGTCCTGACATGGAGTACTGTGGAAAACTGCATTTTTCCTTGCGATACGATAAGGAAATGGAGGGCCTCGTAATTAAGGTAGGAAAACAAATAAAACTTTTCCATCTCTATTATGTTTTTGCATTTGCTTCATTATGCAATTTATTTCGATCTTTAAGCGCAAAAAGTAGACTGGAGTCGACATTATTTTTAGAGTGTTTTATTTTGATAAAAAATTTCATAAAATGAGAGAACTTTTGAATCACCCTCTACAAAAAAACTGTTTTTATATAAATGTTTCTTTGTTTTTTAAGAAAAATTTCTTAGGAAGCCTTTACATGACAAAATCTTAAATGAATTTATTCGCTTCAACTGACACAGAAATTTTTCCTATTACTTTCAATCAATACTTTCGATAAAATCTCGCGATTTGTCAAAATTGAGAGCCGATATAAATTTATTGAAACTGTACAGCAAGATTTATTATGATGAAATGCACTTAAAGGTGCGCGTGCTGATAGCAATGGAGATGCCAAATTTAAAAATAAAAAATTTCTAGGTAATAGTGTAATCGAATGAGAGCAAAAAAGCGGCAGCCAATACCGAGAGCACTATGTTTTCAAAAAAATTAATACACCCAATAACAATATTTTTTTACCTAGATCCTGGAATGCCGTGACCTACCAATCAAAGGCAGACAAAGCAGCTGTGATCCGTACGTGCGAGTTTTTTTGCTGCCAGACCGCAAAAAGAACTTTCAAACAAAAGTTAAACGCAAAAATAATAACCCAATGTTTAACGAATCCTTCATATTCAGGTAATGGGTTTTTTATTTTGGAATCTAGAAAATGTGTATTTTACAAAAAAATGTTAATTTTAAATAATATGTCAATTTATGAACAAAAAATTAAAATTGCATATTTTATTGTTTTCACAGTGTTACATATGAAGAACTAAGGAACCGTTACATCCAGTTTTCCATCTACGACTTCGATAGATTTTCCAAGCATGATCTTATTGGTCACGTGATTTACAAAGGGCTCTTGGATATTGCGGATTTATATCAAGATATCGAATACAGCATGAGCATCATGTGCCCGCCACAGGTAAGTACATTTTACTTTATACGCATACACAAAATTAACAACAAAAGTAAAATTAATAGATAAAAAATTAAATTTTATAAATTTGCAAAAATGGCGGATGCGCAGGGATTAAAAATAAACTTTTCAGAGCATTGTTATAAAGTATATAAATATTTTACTTTATTTACAAACACAAAATTAACAACAACAGGGATACAAAATAAACTTTTTCGGAGCATTGTTATAAAGTATATAATTTACTTTATCTACATAAACAAAATTAACAACAAAAGTAAAATTTATAGATTAAAAATTAAATTTTGAAAAATTTCAAAAATGGCGGATGCGCCGGGATTAAACATAATTTTTTCGGAGCATTGTTATAAACTTTATAATATAAAGTATATAAATTTTATATTTTTTAAAACACATTTTTCTCTGGCAAAATCTGAAATTCTACTAAATAAACGTAAAACATAACAAGAAAAGGCAAAGGCTTTTAAATTTATTTACCTTGCCTACGTTTCAATTTAAGATTAACACCTAATTTATGTTTTGTTTGCCAGTCGTTTAAATAAGTAAAAAGATTCGCATAGACAAACCTTTTAGAAAATTACCTCTAGAGAGTTTTATATATAAGAATTGCTATTTTTTAAGTTTTCTTCATGAAAATTACTAAACTTTTTTTATATTTTAAATTACATCAATATTTTTTGAGCCACCGAAAAAAACTAATAATTAATTAGAAATATTTTTCAAAAGCCCCTAAATATCTCAGATAAACTTAATACGTCCCTGAAAAAATGACACTTTTAATTTTTTGATAAAGAAATGGCATTTAGACCTTCCAGTATAATTGATATACTTTTTGAACGGTTTTGATATTTTATTAACTCGATCCCTGATTTTAATATTTTAATATTAAAGTAAATATTATAATATATCGTATTACTGACGTACATAAACGATGTGATAAAAACGTAATATTTACATTTTAATAAATTTTATTTATGGATTTTCCATCTAGTTTATATAACTTTTTTTTGAAATATTAAATATTATTTTATTTTATAAAACAGCAGTGGCATAAATAAATAAAATAATAAAATTATTCATTAAATTTCCGTGACTCAACATATTTAGAGCCTCAATTTATTTTCATAAAAAACTCGGCGGATGACAAACTTCACAGTATACATTACTAACTATTTTTTTTAATCCGCGTTAAAAATCTACAGTTTACGCTAAAACCACAAAACCAACTTTATAAAATGTGCGAAAGTTCACATGTTTGACCTACTTTCTTAATACTGCAACCTTGTGACAAAATTTTATTCCAATAATAAAATTTAAATATTTCTTCAATAATGCGAATTAAAAATAAATAACACACTTACCTTACTCAAGTCTTGCATATTAAATTTATTCAATTATGCAAACAGCAGATTTTAAAAAAGTTGCTCTGAATTATTTTTATTGGGATTCAAAAGTTTCAAGGACTTCAACTTGTACTTTTAAGATTAATATCATTTTAAAGTTTTAATCGAAAACAAAGGAAAACTGTTGCTTCGCCAACTAACAGGCTTTTTTAACTTTGAGTGTGAATTAGAATTTTAACAAAATAAATGATTGGTTTTAAAAGTGCTTTTTCTGAATTTTTCTGCCTAGTTGAGTTAAAAATTTATAGATAAAAAATTAAATTTGGAAATTTGCAAAAATGGCGGATGCACAGGGAGTAAAAATAAACTTTTTAGAGCATTGTTATAAAGTATATAAATATTTTACTTTATTTACATACGCAAAATTAACAAAAAAAGTAAAATTTATAGATAAAAAATTAAATTTGTGAAATTTGCAAAAATGGTGGATGCACAGGGATTAAAAATAAACTTTTTTAGAGCATTGTTATAAAGTATTTTATTTTTTAAAACACATTTTTCTGTAGCAAAATCTGAAATTCTTCTAAATAAACCTAAAACATAACAAGAAAAGGCAGTCTTTTAAATTTATTTACTTTGCCTACGTTTCAATTTGGTAAATCCTCTGGTCGCAAGCTTTAAGATTAACACCTAATTTATGTTTTGTTTGCCAGTCATTTAAATAAGTAAAAAGATTCGCATAGACAAACCTTTTAGAAAATTACCTCTAGAGAGTTTTATATATAAGAATTGCTATTTTTTTAAAATGTTCTTCATGAAGATTACTAAACTTTTTTTATATTTTAAATTACATCAATATTTTTGGAGCCACCGAAAAAAACTAATAATAAATTGGAAATATTTTTCAAAAGCACCTAAATATCTCAGATAAACTTAATACGTCCCTGCAAAAATGACACTTTTAATTTTTTGATAAAGGGTACTGGCATTTAGACCTTCCAGTCTTTTTAACGGTTTTGACATTGTTGCTAACTCGATTCCTGATTTTAATATTTTAAAATTACCTATTTATGTACATTATTAAATTAAAGAAACGATGTGATGAGAAAATATACGGATATAAAAACGTAATATTTACTTTTTAATAAATTTTATTTATGGATTTTCTATCTAGTTTATATTACTTTTTTTTGAAATATTAAATATTATTTTATTTTATAAAACATCAGTGGAATAAATAACTAAAGTAATAAAATTATTCATTAAATTTCCGTGACTCAACATATTTAGAGCCTCAATTTATTTTCATAAAAAACAAACTTCACAGTATAAATTACGAACTATTTTTTTAATCCGCGTTAAAAATCTACTGTTTATGCTAAAACCACAAAACCAACTTTATAAAATGTGCGAAAGTTTACGTGTTTGACCTACTTTCTTAATACTGCAACCTTGTGACAAAATTTTATTCCAATAATAAAATTTAAATATTTCTTCGATAACGCGAATTAAAAAATAATAATACACTTACCTTACTCAAGTCTTGCATATTAAATTTAATCAATTATGCTAACAGCAGATTTTAAAAAAGTTGCTATGAATTATTTTTATTGGGATTCAAAAGTTTCAAGGACTTCAACTTGTACTTTTAAGATTAATATCATTTTAAAGTTTTAATCGAAAACAAAGGAAAACTGTTGCTTCGCCAACTAACAAGCTTTTTTAACTTTGAGTTTAAATTACAATTTTAACAAAAGAAATGATTGGGTGCTTTTTCTGAATTTTTCTGCCTAGTTGAGTTAAAAATTGTGAAAAGTTCAAACTGAGTGATTTTAATTGCCTACTGAAAGAAGAAGTTCTTTGATGTCCTTATTATTGAGGGAAAATGGCATTTTTGTCCCAGTTTAATTTGTTTATTGCTTTATTTTAGAAAACAAGAATATTACAAAAAATATTCAAAAAATTTGCCTCGTGGAATCTGATTAATTTACGTTGAAAATATACGTAACCACCTGTACGCGTAGCCTAGCGTAGCTTTGTCTGGGGCTTTTCACTTCCCCGCTCGCCTCCCCTCTAATATTGGATTTTCCAGGCCTTGACCTATTTCCAGATATTTGGGATTGTGCACTTATTTTTATCACGGGGTATAACGTTCGGGATCCGGGGGAAGCTTCACCTTCACAGGAAGGATCAAGTTCGTGTCCATTAAATTGTTTAATAAAAAATGTGACATTGTGTAACATTGTACATTAGTAACCTGTTGCATTTAAAACTTGTCTGCTAGAATAATTTTATGTTTTGTTATTTAACATACCGCTTCAATCAGGCCCGTTCCTGGGCGCCTACGTGCAGCATTCTTTGGTGCGCCCCTTTTATATTTAAATATAATACATTAAATAATTAAATTTTACGTCCTAAAATTTCAAAAATATATATTTTGCAATAAGCTGGCAAAATATAATTGAAAATGTAAAAAAAACTGCTGAAATTAAGTATAAAAAATATTTATTAAATTACCAAACAAACAAAATCACAAAAAATAGATAGTCATAAAAATACTCTAAAAAAAATTTTAACTTTATAAACAATATAATAACTACAACTGGTTTTTAGTGACGTACTCTCTAAAAATGAATTAGTCAAAAATGACTAGTTTTTAAAGTGAAAGAGCAGTCCACAGCAACTTGTATCCTGGACATTTAATAGCTTATTATTATGTAAAATTGTCCCATGAATCCGAAAAAAACGTCAAAAATTATGAAAGTAGAGCAGTTTTTGAGATATCGTATATTCCATATAATATGGAAAATTTACTATATCTCAAAAACTGTTTTATGTACTTTTAACTTTTGATGACCTTTTCGGCCGGATTCAGCGGACAATTTGACATAGAAGTTGACTGCTAAATGTCCGGGATACAAATTGCTGTTAACGATAATTACACTGTAGGGAGGTGAAAATATCACAACTAAACGCGTAAAATTAATATTTGGTCGTAGATTACAAATCCTTACTTGGTTTAGCTGTATCAGGTCAAAATTCAAAGATATTGGAAACACCCTTTATAAATTTTAAAAAAATTAATGGCTGGACCCACACATGTGGTGATCAGTGCCGGTTTAACAGGGGTTTTTTGGGGACTTTAGCACCGGGCGGTAAATATTTTTGGGGCGGTACCGCGTACCGCCCATAATTTAAAAAAAAATACTTAATCGTTAGAATTTAGAAAAAAAAATATTGCGACACTGCGTCGGCGGATACAACGGATACAAATGAGAAAAATGTTGTTAGAGTTAAAGCAGCTTCTCCATCAGAAAAACTTGATTTATTGCAAACGGAATAATTTGAACTTTTTGAATAGACGTTTTGCAAAGGGTTAATGAAACCAATAAAGCAGTCCAAAAACAAAATATGGATTTAAGCACAAATGCTCATCTTTTGTCATTTTTAGTTGAGAACTTTGATTTTTTACGTGATATCATTTTGATCATTACGAGGAAATTAACAGGAAACGAAAATTATGCTCAGAAGCAGATTATCATAAGAAAATTACAATTTGAAGAAAATAATTCATAGGCAAGTTTAAGCAAAAAAGAAACAATGCGAACAATATGTTTTATTTTAATAATTGACAATCTATAATCCGAAATCATTTGTCGATATGATAGCTAGAAATCTGGCACAAACAAATTTGAATTTTTGTTTAATCTAAAAGAATAAATCTTCGTGGAGGATTTGGATGAGTTTTTTTCTCAAATATGTGTCCAACTCAAGAAACTGGTAACTTCCCTTTCGGAAATAAAAATAGAAACTCCATTGGAATTAGTATAAGTTTTATACGAAAATAAATTAATATCTTCATTTCCGAATATTAATAATTGTCTGCGAATTTTTTTTTATAATGGTTTCAAATGCAAGTGGTGAACGATCTTTTTCTGCTCTAAAAGGGTAAAGAACTACCTAAGAAATACAATTCCCCAAGAAATATTTAACTTCTTAGCAATTCTGTCCATTTATCAAGACCTGCTAGATGAAATAAATGTAAAGTGTTATAAAACAATTTGCTACTATAAAGACTTGAAAACAACCTTTTAATTATTAGTATTAAGATTTCTCAATATTTATTTACTTAAACCAAAGAATAATGTTTTATTTATTTATAACTTTTGATTAGTTTTTCTTAGTAGTACTTAGTATTGTTTATATAAACCAAAGAATGTTTTATTTTTTAGTTAGTGCTTTTGATTAGTTTTTATAATTTGTTTATAAAGGCTCATTTTTTATTTTATAGGATACTAAGTTTACTGTTAGATACCAGCCTAACCAACCTAATCTTCCACTTGACGTGAGAAAGTAAAACTTAAAAATTTAAAAATGTTTTTAAAAAAGTAATATTTTAAAGCATTGGGCGTTGTGTTTTTTCCAGAACCGGGCGGCGAACTAACTTAAACCGGCACTGGTGGTGATGCATCAGTTCCAAATAGAAAAAAAAAACAAATTCTTGCAATTTTTTAAGTTAATTGATCATTATTATTGTAAGCGCCTCTTCTTTTTAATTTGTTACCGATTTATAACGTAAGCGCCTATATGTTCCCGACAAATATGCGTAAGCAACTCCGAGACATGGCGTTTGCGATTTAACATTGTGACATGTCGCTTACGATTAATATTGCTCCCGCCTTGATCTATCAAGGCGTTATTACCGCTCTAAACAGTTCATTCGTGAGTATACCTGCATCGTGGTGATTGCTACCAAGTTTTAAAACAATATTTTATTTGATCAAAAGCTTATAATTCCTTTTTTTCATTGCATTATTAATAGTTATCCTAATTATAATTGTTTTTACGTAGTGTGGTTCGTTAAAAGTGTTTTTGTAGTAATTGTATGTTGTTATAGCGTCAAATAATTTGACTCAAATTTATAACGGTTAGATCATGGTACCATGAGTTAGATCATGGAGCCTACATACATAAGGAGTCCGAACATAATGTAAACAAGAATCTTCCTAAGATAAGAGTGCGCTGGTGTTCCGTTTATTCTGAAACAATTGTTTAATTTGTACCGAAACGACAATCAGCGCCGCTGGTGGTGAAAAAAAGAAACTTAATTTGTACAATTTAGAGGGCTAGTTTTGTCAATTTCCCCTATTAAGTTCGGGCTCCTTGTGTAGGCTCCATGGGTAGATACTGGGTCGTTTTTTTTTTCAAAGAAAGCTGATGTAGAATTTCATTTTCAAACATTGTTTGATATTTTATAAATTAACTCTTTTGTATTTTTTTTATTTAATAATAAAAGTAAAAAAATAAATGTCACTAACGATGTTTTGACAAAAGTAATCATACAAAAAAAAATGAAAATTTTAGATTGGATTGTATCTTACTTAAATATTTAAATTCTACATTAATAAAATAATGCCTCACCAGTTTTCAGATAAATAACTTTAAAAATTAAGCTCCCACCCAAAAAAAATCTCTCCTGTAAAATTTTGGTTTTGTCGCTTACGATGTTTTGTCAAATAACCATCGACTTGTCCCTGAGGGTTTTTCTTAGATATTTCCCTCGTCTTAATTTCCACCAATCACATACTTTTTTAGACCTGATACAGCTAAACCGTGCACGGATTTGGAATTTACGACCAAAAATATTGTTTACGTGTCCGAGCGTTTAGCTGTGATATTTCAAGAGTTGAAAATTTAACTACACTGTTATTAGAGGCTGCTTTTTCGCTATAGCTTATGGTCATTTTTGACTAATTCATTTTTAGAGAGTACCTACCTAGTAAAGTCATGCACTGTGTAGACTACTGTTAAACTTTGCTACCGTCAACTGCAACTATCAAACAAATACTAAAAATATTATGACAATTTCTTTCCTTTTATTTTACTTATATCAACAAAAATTAAGTCGCTAATATTAAAGCGGCAAAAGGCGCTTTATAGCGGCCGAAAAAAATAGCGGGAACCTTTATCCTATGTATGTTTAAGTATTTGTTTATTTGAAAAAAAGTTTATCGTTACAAAGTACCGATTGACTCTTTGATTTTGCGCCCCCAAAATGTTGCGCCTGCGTGCGTGAACGCTCGCCAAAAACGGCCTGGGTTCAATAAAGCTGTACTATAGAAAATAAAATTGAAAAAATTTGAAAATCGACGATAAAAGGCAAATTAACGTAAAATTGTGACATAACAGTAGCATTAACTTCGTGTCTAACGAGCTCTATTCTACGATTTCACGTTCTCATTATTCACACGACAAACTCATATGCTCGAAAGCAGGCAATCGCGGACAAATCTCTTTGCATTTGGCACTGAACAGACAAATGCATTCCGGACTGTGGAGTAGTGTTCTATGTAATTTTCTCTCCCAGTAAAACGACCCGGATTTTACCTCTTATGCTTCACTTCACCTTATAATCCGTGCCAATTTCGAACTGTATAGACTACATAAGTGGGGAAAATGAGTCCCATTTAACCTTATACCGTTGAGTGAAGAATTATTTAATCAATGCTTATATTATGTTATAGTTTTCTAAGAATTTCGAAATCAGTCTTATTTTTGTGAAAAACTGCTTCTATATAGGATTTAACTGGTGGTTAGTCCATTTTCAAAGGATACATTTCGATTACATATAAAAAATTGACATTTTGTGTGGTTGAGTGGTTACTCTATTGTTTTATAGATGTCGCTTTATGCAAATATTTAATTTAAATCATTTTTAGATGATAAGTATTTGTCTTAGAAATAGTATATAATGCAACTCGTTTATAAACTTTTCTAGACACTCATTTAATTAGGCACTCGCAAGCTCGCTCCTACCTGGCGTTTATCAAACTTGATACATAATAAACTATTAAGTTACGGATCTCTGGAAATAATATGAATTTTTGTCAAACGGAATAAGCGTGATGTGCTTTTGAAATTAAAAGAGCTTTTGTTCAAAAAGAAATGTTTTATCAAAGAGCGTTATGTTTTCAATATTTTTCATTTCGTGTAAAAATGAAATGGTTTTATTTTGTTTTATGTTCTAATTGAAATTGCTGATTAAAATTTGCTTTGTGACGTGAAAATTATTGATATGAATTTAAAAGGGTGAAAAAGCTTTAAAAGTCAAATAAAATTTACAAATTAAATATTTATCAATTAAAAAATACATACAAAAGTTAAAACTCAAAGTAGTTTGAAACGTATAATTTTAGTTTTAGAAGTAATATAAGTTTTTTAATTATTTTGTTAAATAGAAATTTCTATTATAATAAAATAATAAATTTAGCTGAAAGTTCAATAAAATATATTGTATTTGAATTTTATAAATGAGATCGTTAGAAGAGATATAAGATTTTTAAATCGATTTAAATTAAATAAATTAGTTAGTTCAAAGCTAATTACAAAAATTAAATAATAACTACCTTTAAGCCATTGTTGAAAATAAAACATTTTTACTCATAAAAATTTAAAAATATTGCTTCCAAAAATTAAATTTTAGAGTACATCCGCAACAATACAGACTTTCCTAAATAAATAACCACACCGCAGAAAGTTTCAAATATGTTTAATAAAATATGAATTTCAGTTCAAAAACTTTTAAACTTTGCTACAAGCGACTTGAATTCCTTTAGACTAGACCAGAAAATGAGAAAATATTGTTTAATAATATATATTTTTTAGAACAAAAACCCCTCTATCAAGTATACCGTTTATTTTTTGAACACAAGGTATATACAAAAATATATATAAACTTTATTTTTAGGAAAACAGCAACTTGGGTGAATTGTTAGTATCACTTTGTTATCTACCAATAGCAGGACGACTTACAGTGACCATTATTAAAGGACATAGTTTAAAAACGATGGACATCACTGGGAAATCAGGTAAATACTTATAAATATAGTACTTTTCCTTAAAATTAGACTTTTTTTACATATATTATTGCTTTAACTACTATTAAACTCTTTCTGTGATCAAAATAGACATAAAACAGAGAGATACAATGAAAAATATCTTGACACATTTTATTTTAGATCCCTATGTAAAAATCTACTTGCTATGCCAGAGCAAAAAAATCAAGAAAAAAAAGACCTCGGTTAAATTTAGGACGCTGGATCCCATGTTCCGTGAAGCTTTTGTTTTCGATGTGCCACAAAACAATATCGAGGATGTGTATTTGGTTTTAAAAATAATGGACTACGACAGGTATGATTATTTATTGTATTTTCTTGCAAAGAAGCATTTTTCACTCCCAAATTTACAGGATAAGTCATGACGAAACTATGGGTTATGTCGTAATCGGTTCAGCTTTCATGGGCTCCGGCAGAGACCATTGGTTAATAATGCTGGACAATCCTAGGACACCATCAGCCCAATGGTATAGTTTAATGGAAAATCTACCAAGTTACATACCACCGTTAAAGGAGAAAAATGTATGTCAAGGCTGTTTGACGACCAGGTAAGTGAATATAAATTGTTAATATTTACGAGTTGCTTGTAAAGAAAAAAGTAATGATAACAATAGCGAGATGTAACCAAAAGCTTGAATATACTTGCGTACATAAATGAATTCTATTATGAAATATAAAAATGTAAAATATTTATAGGTGAAATACCAAGCTGGACTCCACGTGGGTTTAAGAAGAAGAATGAAATAAAAGAATTGAAAATTGAAAAATATAAAGTTGCATAAAATTGTCCTGAGCATCTCGTCCATTTGGAAGAAGCTCTTTGATGTATTGAAAAATATCGATATAAATGTGTAAAAAAATTATCCTATATTATTATGCATTATTGACTGAATCGTTTGAAAACTATAAAAGTCTGTCGTTTATACATTGAATATATATATATATATATATAGTATGTTGACCTTGTTAAAGATACTTAAAATTTAATGAAATAAGATGTGCATAAATATAACTTAATATGGTTGGTCATAAAAGCACCTATATAATTTTTTTATGGTGAAAAATATGCTAAAATAGAGATTAAAAAATCTAATATCCTTTTTTTACTTGAATTTTCTCAGGTGGTGTTTTTAATAGTAATAATATTTTTTCCCAAAAACTGTCTGTGCTTATGCTTATTTCATTATTATAAAAAAATATTCTGTTTTTATGACCAAAGCCTAAATTATTCGGTACTATGCAAGTATTTTGGAGTTAAAAACACAACATAATAAAAAATTAAATCTTCCTTATTTTTTTTAAACCTTTAAAATGATTTTACCAATATTTTATTAATTATTTTAAATAATTTATTTATATTTGATAGTTAATTTTAGAAAATTTGCTTTGTAAAGTAAGTTGACCGAATAACTAATTATTTTTGTTTACCTACTTCTTTATTCCATAATTTCAAATGAATTTACGTCAATTATGTAAAAATAAATATTATTTAAATACAAAATTGTAAATACATTTCTACACTTACTTGTATGGTAAAAATAAAAAATCACTGTGAAAATAAAATTAAGAATTGATATATGCCAAAAATTATATATATTATAGAATTATTTTAGGCATCAACTAACAACAAATAATTATATTTGTATTCGAAAAATAAACAATATTAAGATGGAAATATTCAATAAATTTAAATACTGTTTTTATAATTTATAATAACATAGTTTATGAAATTGTGGGTTTTTTAAACAAAGACTAAAAAGCACAATAATTGTTTAAAACTCCCACAACACAAATTTTATCAATTAATTTATTTATATTTATATTCAAATCTGGTGGCAAATTTTAGAATAGAATATATTTAAAATATAAAAAAATTGTTAAAAGTCCTGTAGAAGAAAGAATAATTGTAATACATAATTATTAAGTAGTGTTCAAAAAATATTTTTCTATATCTACAATCATATTAAAATGCATGCAGTTTTAAGAAATAAAAAAATATATGTCTTTGACCTTAACCTTTTTGTGCTCAATATTCGGTCATTGTTACATCTAAGTAGAAAATATATACCGTATTTTCATTTTTGGTGTATACAGTGTATCATAGCGGAATTCGGTTTTTAAGAGGGGAATTAATCCGGTCTAACATGACGACAGTTATTTACTGGCTTTGAGTGATTGTCGAACTTTAAACAGTAAATTATTAATTTAAAACAATTCTCTTAAAATAGTTTTATTAGTTTTTATAAAAAAATGCGAAGTAGAGCATAGCGAATGCAATACGCAAATGATGCTTGAAGCCTTGGACCCCTGTGTCGTCGCCGCTACAAAATATCCCCACTCTCTTTTAAGGTGTTCGGCACTGTATACTTTTAGTGTGAAAATACGGTATAAGACAGTTAAATCTTCAATAAAATGCAATGTGATTTTAACAAATGGTATAAGAATGTAATATTTTAACAAAATGTATTGTATTGTTGAAATAAATTTTTTTGGTATATGAAGATGTTTAAGATATTTAAGTATCAAGCTTTTCAATATTTAATTTTTATGTAGGGTAATATAGGTAGATTATATATGTATATAAAATTGGTAATAACAATAATTTTTTATTGAATAAAACATATCTAGATGCTAAGTACTTTTGGTTTGTATTAAAACTATTTTTCAGATTTAATAGTACCTTATTTTAAAACAGTGCTTCCAGTAGTTTAAACTGAATAGTATTAATACAACAACAAATATTGTTGTTTTATTAAAATTACTGAAACTTTACTACTAAAATCCATTTAAAAACATTGTTGGTTGGTGTTATTTTAAATAATTAGCCTGTTGTGTAAATGGAATTGACTAAAAAAAATAATTTAAAAAGGGTTATCAAATTTTAAACCATTTGTGGGCAAAATTCTACCATTGTAAAAACTCGAAGTTAAATGTAGATTTTATATTAATACTAATAATAATAGTTGTGTGTACTACTACTAAAATATGTAGAAATAAACCAAGAGACCTTAATGTGCAAATTATAATTTAAACAACGCACAAAAATGTAAGAAATATTTTGTGTAAGCGGTAGTTTTTTATTTTCATTTCAATAATATTTTTAATGAGTGCATAATAAAATGTCTATGTATGAACTTATTCTTTTATTTTTTAAGTAAGATCAATATAAGGCAACCATAGCAACCACTTGTTTATTCGTTATTTAACACCAAAGATGCCTCCAAATTTGGAGGATAATTTGAGCAAAAGTGATAATAATATAACAACGCATGATATACCGAATGAACTTGGAACACCCAGTACGAGCTCCAGTGCTAGTGCCAGTGATGGTGCCAGTGCTAGTGGTAGCACTGGGCCTGATAATAGTTTACCATCTTTACATGAATATGAAGAAATAAATTTACCAGATTTGGATCTTCCTGACTTAGAAGGAGACTTGGATTTGGAGTATTTAAACAGGTTTCAGATACCATTGGAGCAAAATTTAAGGGAGTTGTTGGTAATTATTAGGAAATTATTTAGGAAATTGTTTCTCAAATGGAAACAATATTCCAGGAACACTTGAGTTATATGACATATACATTCATTATATACATATCATTCGTTTTAGGTTCAAGTAACAAATAGCGACGATCTACAGTCAATAACACAATTAAAACTTAAAGTTATCGCCAGAGAAGTACCTTTACAACAACTAAGCATACACACTCCTTTTTTAAGGTAAAAAAAGTATTTTAACAACAATCCGAAAAGTAATAATTTGTTTCAGGGAGTTAATACTGGATGGCAGCATAGTATCCACACTTAGAGACTTAGGTTGCGGCCTTAAAAACCTAAAAATCCTTAGGGTGAACAGGTGCATGTTAACCTGCATTGACAGCGTCTTCGGTTTCGAAATGCTCGAAGAGTTATACGCGGCTGATAATGACATAAAGGATTTACTACCGTGTGCTTTTCTAACCAATTTAAAAATCCTGGATGTGAGAAGGTAAACCAAACATAATAATAAAATTAAGTTTTATATAATTTTATGTATTTTTGGTTTACAGAAACGCCCTCAAAAAAACCAACACCCTGGGATTTTTAACGCTATGTCCGAATTTGAAGGATTTGTACTTGGAAGGGAATTTTGAGTCGCAGGTGTTTCCAAAGTATAGGGAAACCATCAAGTCCATGATACCCAGTCTTGTGGCTTTGGATGGCATAACTTTTTCGGAAGGTAATGTATACACCAAGGGTGAAAAATAGTCCCAAAATTTTGTTTCAGTTTTGGAAACGTCCATTAGTGAGGAAGAAACGATGGAGTTTTTGCAATCTGAATCAGAAGATGTAGCATCGGAGGTAATAAACGTTTTACGAAAATATAGTTTTTAGATATTGTAAACCTAAAAATCCTATTACTATTTTAGAATGTTTCAACATCTAGAATAAGATCTGGTACACCAAGAACAAGACGAACCTCTAAAATATCATCAGGTTTTGTGGTACAATTTCCACCAAGAGTTTTTGTTAATAGTCCATTATTTGTCACCAATAATCGTATTAGGGGTAAAAAAATAATAAAAAAAATATATACAAACTTAAATGATTTTTGATGTTTTAGGCGAAAACCAACCCACCACTTCTGAAGATGTAAACATAGAAAACATTGAAAATGAAAAATAAAAAATTTCGATTTATAAATACAAAAATTTATTATTGTGAATATTCTAAATAAAAAATTGAGTATAGTTCTTTCATTACAGGTTTCAAATTATTGGGTTCATCCATAAACATAAAAATTGTTAATAAATATAAATAAAATCCATCACAATAAAAAAATATCTAAAATACTATCACAATATAAACTATATAATAAGTGCTAGAAATACAACAAAATAATGTAAATGCACCTTAATATAATAAAAATAATCTCAATTAGGCAAGATATTACAAAAAAATATCAAATTTAATAAATGAAATGTAAAGTTTTGTGGTTTAAAATAATAAAATATTTTAAAACCTCTACAATTGAGTTTTAAATTCCAAACATTTAGTTTTAAATTTTGTGGCTTTTTATATACATTAAGAGTAATAAAAGTCATGTAATATAACCTTGAAGCCATACAAAGATCAATTACACCAGTCAACATATTTAAAGTTTTAAAAAATGTACCCAGCAAAGTTTGGTCAAACATTGAGCAAACATATTGTGCAAACAATGGGCAATGGTAGGTATCAATTCATGGGCAATGTTTATTTAAGGTAAAATACCCAGTATACAAATTTTTATTCTGTCAATATTAAGCCAAGATACATACACCTTAAGATAGGATGGTGCGCATGTTGGGCGGGGCTTAAATACGTCACTTGATGAGTGTTTTTAAATCTTTAACGTGCTTTTTAATTATCTGCTGATAAAATTCTTGTTTTTTGCGATGCTTTTGGATGTTAACTTGCTCTATTTTTTGTTTAACTTGTTGTTTTTGTGTTCGGTAAGATTCGAATTACTTTTCAGTGTTCAAATTATTGTTATTGCGTTGTGTTAACCTGTTCTGTTTGTTTATTATTGTTTTTGTGTTGCGTTAACTTGTTTTGTTTGTGTTTTAGATTGTGTAGTGCCATTTGCATTTACTAATATGCGGTGTGGCATATTTGGATGCAATTCGGACAACCAGTCCAAGATAAACCCTTTAAATAAAAACATTGAGTTTCATCGATTCCCGAAAAACTTTGATTTGTGGAAACAGTTTTTAAATGCCACAAAAATAATAGACAATATTAACGTTAAGACCGCTTCTGTTTCCTATATATAAACATTTTCTGGACAGTGACTATAGTCACTATATAAGTTTAATTTAAAACACCAACGCTTAAACTATAGCCCTAAATGTTATCAAGGACTGAAAGCATCTATTATCCATATTATAACACTTTCTTCAATATTAAGTTTAATAAAAACGCACTATGTCCAGATATTTCTCTATTTTCTTTGATAATATTACTTTAATTCGTGTATTCTTACGGCAACTACTCATCAAGTGACGTCATGCGCGTGACGAACCAAAACTCGTACACGGGAGCAGCCCTTATATTAAGCCTAGGGTCAGAAATGTTTGCTGGGTTTATGGCCGTTTTTGGTAATATTTTTGCCAGTGCTTGATTTGATTAAAAGTCGTTGTTTTTGGCAAAGAACATCTTCCTGTAAGACTAGATTCAACACTATGTTGACCAGTGCAATCAATGAGTTATTAAATACCCAATCTCATCTTATACGAGTACACCATCAATCTAAATCCTACATAATATTGGTAACGTATTTTCCCTTAATGACGCACCGTCATCAACTTAATGCGCAGCATGAAATAGGCCACTATCCGCAGCAATATGAACAGGCCCACGAGAACCGACACGTCGATTATGTAAGTCTGCATGTCGCCTTTCATCGACATTTGGTTCAGAAACGTCGTCGGGTATTTGAAGTGGCAATAGAGCTCTTTGCAGACCAGCTTCGGCCTGTCCAGGCCGTAGATCGCGATCATGCTGGCTTCGAAGCTGTATCTGAGGTAACTCATGTACGGTAACCAGCTGAGGTAGTACGGTATGTCGTCGAGGTTGGCGAAGAACCCGGAAAATAGCACGCAGGGAATGGTGGAGATGGGTCCAAAGAACACGCCGGCCTATAAAGTTACAAGAACAAGAGGTCTTATATGAAGATGCGGTTGAACATCTGAATATGAGGATGTGGACGAGGATTTAAAGATGAGGATGAAGATTGGAAAAGGCTGATGTAGATGAGGATTTGAAGATGCAAAAATATCGGAAAATACAAATTCCAAATGAAAAACCTTTAAAAATTTACTAAAAATAAATAAAAAAATACACCTACCTCTATACTGAAGGCTGCTCCTACCAGCAATCCAAAACTTTGTCCCACCAACGCAGTCAAAATATTCGCAAATAAAAACATGGAAAATCGCACGCCATCCAGGGGTTGTGATGTTATAAAATAAACACCCACTATATAACACGTTGTCAAAATAATCTAAAAAACGAAAAAATAACATTTATTAAATTATACACTAAAGAAGTATCGGGTTTTCGAAACGCGCGCGCCATCTGGTGGACTTCGAATGCATTGCGTGAATTTAAGAATTGTGAACAATAAATTTAAAGCACTGATTATACATCATTTTTAAATAAATAGGTATTTTTTTTTACAAAAGATAGGAAGGCAGGAGTCTTACTCGACAAATTTTGTTCAATTGCACAGCTAAATCGCGCACGTTATTTGTGTTTTACGTTGCAAGGAAAAAATTAAAAAAAAATTTTAGTACTCGATTTCGATTGATTATTCCTTATATCATTGATTAAGAAACTTAACGATTAAATGCTTATATAGTTACGTTAGTGTGTGTATTTTATCAAAGGGATCATGGTGAATTATTGTGTTTTTAATTGTAAATAAAATTCAAGAACTAAATCGTTGCATTTTCATGTTTTGTCAAAGGATCCAATTCGGTAAGTACATTTAAGTTTGGACATTTTTCAGAAATTAGTAAAAAATAATAACAACCTTAAAATCAATCATTTTTATATTTGAGTTCTCTAAAAAACGCCGACAACTGCATTTTAAACAACAAAATATACCCACGGTATTTTACCGTTGAGTGGAGACTTTAAAGAATTCTTAATCAACGCTTTTAATAATGCTAAATGCTGTGTAAATTTAGACGACTTATTTGTTTGACGATTTTTACTGAATTGAAATGTTTACTTTTCACGTTAATCACTACTAAAATGTGTACTTATTGGATCTAATAGGTACAATTTATACAGTGTGTATTAAAACAAATAGATACACTTAAATAAAACAAGTGCCAAACCCCGCCCACTGTGGTAGGGATTGAATTTGTTTGCTTGCCGTATCATTGTCGTATGATCTTTAATACATTGGGAGATATTAGTCCTGAAATGCTGTTTAACGTGCGCAGGAATTTTTATGATAGGCTAGGGTAATGTTTAACTGCTGCTGGTGGTCTATTTGAACATTTACTTTAGAAAAAAGTTATTTTCGTTATTTTAGAATTATTTTTGTTTGAGAATGTATAGGTTTTATTTTTATCGAATTCGTTTGTTTTGTTTTAATGCATTTCTGCAAATAAAAACTAAGTATTGTTTAAAATCCATTAAATTCCAGTTAATGGCGAAAATGTATTTCTTAAAAACTATACACATTTCCCTACGACAGCGTCGAAGCTACTGAACAAACACAGTAGATCAAACCATGATACAACAAACCAAAGGTATGACATCTAGCGGTCCAAAACTCGTCTGCTTCGCGCAGTGACGTCAGTTCGAGAGTGATTTTAAATGAACATAGCGGAAACAAGTCATTTATTTACCCTTTTAGGTGGAAATACGTATCAATTAGATACAAAAATCATAAATACACATTCAATTTGCATCTTTAAGAGGAAATTCTCATTAATGTAATATATTAATAGATTTGAAAAGCCATTATAATAGTAATTAGTAAATGTAAAATATTGCTGACTTTTATTTACACTTTTAAGTAAAAATTACATTATAAATTAATTAGATTAAAAAAATAATAAATTAATAATTTAATATATATGCATGCACAATTTAGATTTAAATATTATTAATAAACAAATTCAAATTACATTTTAGTGGTAAAACAAAATAATTTAATATGCATATTAATTATAAAATCTACAAATTATATGAAAGAGTAAATTTTTGGCATTATTTTGTTGCATAAAATAATTGAAGCAACAAATAAAAATAAATAAAACAATATACCTATTAAGGCAGTGTTTATTTTTAAATTTACAGATAAAATTCCAGTAAGGTTTTTATATATTAATAAACTTAATAAATTTATTTAAAAAAATACAATGGCTTTATGTGCAACAAAAGTTAAAATAAAAAACACAATCTGGCTGAAATTATTTAAAAAAGATCTTGTTTCGTTTTATTGTCTTTAGGCAACGTAAAAAATTTTTCGACTGATTGTTACTAACACACCCAAACACAGCACACCTCATTATTAATCAAAAATAATAGAAAAAACCTCGTAAAAACTGAACGCACGTGTTAAAATTCAACGGTAATCTAGCGGCGAAATAAATTCCAACTCTCTTTCTGACGTCATGACGCGTCACTAAGCCACGCCTTCCTGCGCGAAATCATACCTTTGGTTTGTTGTATCATGAGATCAAACTGCATGCCCTTGTATCTGGCTGCATGCCGCGCTGTTGCCATATGCTATTATTGTTTCCTAAAACGGTTGTTTTTCTTATTTTTTAATATTATAAGTAAGAAAATTAACTAAATCAAATTATTTTTGACATATTATTAATTTTTTTGTTATTTTTAAAGTTTCAAACAAATAAATTTGAACTATTTATTAAATAATAATTATTATAATCGTTCTCTTCTGATTTAAAACAACCTGGCAACTATGGTTCGTAATTACGAATGGCTTGGTTTAAACCACGCCCAATTAAAGTTTGTTTATTTTTCTCTGATCAGAATATAATTTGTCATCCTTGTCTCCAGCCTTACTTACTTGATTTTATACAGTCTGTATTTACAGAGACTGTATGCAATTTATTTCTTCATTCAGATTAACAATGTTTATTGGAAAACCGGTAAAATCTCAACCCAGGATTTCCTCTCGAAATACAACCAACAACACAACAAATCGATCCATGTTTTTTTTTCGATATTTTTTAACATTTTCCGGCTTTATTCTCAAAAACACTCGTTTGTAACATAAGCGTTTGACAGGTGATTATTAAAAGTTCTACTTTTGTTAGGATGATAACAGCCGAGTGGTGGCGCTACTAGCGATACTTCTTTAGAATTTGAACTGATAAATGTCAGGGACATGCGCAATTATTATAGTAAAATCCTATTAATTTAAAACCTATTATATTTACCTGGAAAGGTATGTCAGCTATGGTTTTCGCGAAATAATACGACTTCAAAGAGTACCAATAGTTGAGATGTTCTCTTACAAAAACCGACATCTCCAGAGGGACTAAAAAATTAACGAATTGATAACAAAATAACGAAAAAGGCATGTTTAACTTACAAGTTAAAATGGTGGGCATCATCGAGGTGAACATCATAAACATGCAGGTGAAAAATAGGCAGCCCGCGTTGCTCATTACTTTTGCGGCGTCGTTTCCAATGTTGTAATAAATGCATCCGATTATGATTCCTATGATGACGTGCGAGGCCGTCCTCATTCGCGTTAAAATTCTGTCGCGTAGGATGCAGTTCATGCTTCTTTTCAGTAGAATCCAGAATTGCTGGAAACCCGATGTCGGGAAGGAATTTTTGTCCATCGTGAGATTTTCCGCCGATTCCAGAAGTGATGTTGTGCATGTCGCCGGCGTTGCTACAGGAGTGGTGCTATTGGCTTTCGAAAGACCTAAAAAAATTTGGTGTTGGAACATTTTGGTGCCAATTATTGTTTGATAGGAACCAAAGATAATATTATCTTTGATAGGAACTATAAACAGTGCTTTTTCAACTCTCCATCTAGTATGTAGCGTCTAAAGTACAAATTACAGTTACCTGTAAGTAGGACAAACTCGTACAGTAGTTCAAAACAGGGATGTTGCGAATATTCGCATCCGCATCTGCAAATGCGGAGCTTCCGCATAGATTTGAACATCTGCATCCGCATCCGCAATAGTCAATGCGGATGCGAATGTTATACAAGGCCACAAGAAAGAAACTGGGCGGGGCCGGCGAATAGCGCGTGCCGTTCGCAGTGCGCACGTGATCATGACCAATGGGTGCATTTGTTTCTTGTAAATAAATCATTACGTGTTTTTTTTCGCTGTGGATTATCGTATACTAGAGGGATGTTGCGAATATTCGCATCCGCATCCGCAAATGCAGAGCTTTCGCATAGATTTGGACATCTGCATCCGCATCCGCGGATGTGAGCCCTCAAAAATCCGCATTCACATCCGCGGATGTGAAAAAATCGGCATCCGCAACATCCCTGGTTCAAAATTAGAAAACTCGCAGTAGTATGTAAAAAATGGTGGAAAAAATTTGCTGAAATGTTGCGAATATTCGCATCCGCATCCGCAAATGCAGAGCTTTCGCATAGATTTGGACATCTGCATCCGCATCCGCGGATGTGAGCCCTCAAAAATCCGCATTCACATCCGCGGATGTGAAAAAATCGGCATCCGCAACATCCCTGGTTCAAAATTAGAAAACTCGCAGTAGTATGTAAAAAATGGTGGAAAAAATTTGCTGAAATTTGTAAGGCCTTTTAATTATTTTTTGAATTGTAAAATAAGTTTTAAAAATCAAAAGCCTAAGAAGCATAGCGCCCATTCAAATATCCAAAATTATTTAAAATTAAAAGGCAAACTTTCCAAAATTTTTAACTTAATTCTCAAAACTCAAAATTTGTAAAACTTTCAAAATTTTCAAAAGTATTCAAAATTAAAAGGGCACAAAAATTTAAAAAAACAATTAAAATTTCAAAAAATTTTAAAACTTCCAGAATTTCCAAGGTTTTTAATTTTTTTATGAATTTTACATATTCAAAATTTTTTAAAATTTTCAATTTATTTTTTTATTTCAAACATTTTCATCCCAAAATTTTCAAAGCTTAAATTTCACTATTTTAAAAATTTCCAAAAGTATTTTAAATTAAAGGTCCTGTCGTGCGCACATTCAAATCTTTAACATTTTGAAAACTTCAAAAATTTTGAAAATAAACAAAATTTAAAAAAAAATTAAAAATTTCAAAAACGTTCAACCTTCATAATTTTTCAAATTTTTATTTTTTTTATAAATTTCACGAATTTCCAAAATATTAAGTTTATTAAAATTTCAAAAATTTCGAAAATATTAAATTTTTAAAAATTTCAAAAGTATTCAAAACTAATAAGTTGTTGCTCACATTCAAAAAATTTTAAAACTTCCAGAATTTCCAAGGTTTTTAATTTTTTTATGAATTTTACATATTCAAAATTTTTTTAAATTTTCAATTTTTTTTTTTTTTCAAACATTTTCATCCCAAAATTTTCAAAGCTTAAATTTCACTATTTTAAAAATTTCCAAAAGTATTTTAAATTAAAGGTCCTGTCGTGCGCACATTCAAATCTTTAACATTTTGAAAACTTCCAAAATTTTGAAAATAAACAAAATTTAAAAAAAAAATTAAAAATTTCAAAAACGTTCAACCTTCATAATTTTTCAAATTTTTATTTTTTTTATAAATTTCACAAATTTCCAAAATATTAAGTTTATTAAAATATCAAAAATTTCGAAAATATTCAATTTTTAAAAATTAGTATTCAAAACTAAGAAGTTGTTGCTCACATTCAAATACTCCAAATTTTCAAAACAAATTTTTACAATTTTCAAAATTTCTATCGTGCGCAAATTCAAATTTCCAAAATTTTAACAATTTCCAGAATTTTCATAATTTTTAAAATTTCATAAATTCTAAAACTAATTTTTTTAATTTCAATTTTTTAAGATTTTTATTTTTTTTATAAATGTCACAAATTTCCATAATTTTAATGTTTTAAGTTTTTTAAATTTCAATATTTACCAGAATTTTCAATTTTTTAAATTTTCAAAATTATAAATTTTACTAATTCCTTAAATTTTTACAATTTACAAAATTTTGATTTTTATTTTTTTATAAACTTCACAAATTTAAATTTTTTTTAAGTTTATTAAAATTTCAAAAATTTACAAAATTTTCAAAAGTATTCACAAGTCTAAGAAGCATAGCTTGTGCGCACATTCAAATTTCAAAATTTTCAAAACCCAAAATTTTCACAATTTTCAAAATTAACTAAACTAAAAGCCTAAGACGTATGGCTTCTATCTTTCGCAAATTTAAATTTCCAAAATTTTAAAAATTTCCAAAATTTTCATAATTTTTAAACATTTAACAAATTTTAAAACTAAAATTAAAAGCCCTGGAAGCATATCTTCTGTCACCAATCACTAAATTTCATTTTAAAAATTTTTAACTAGTATTCAAAGTTTTGATAGTATTAGTTAAAAATGTCAAAGAAAAATCGAAGAAAACCTAATGAAAAGTGTACACGATTTTTCCCTGTAGTCAATACGCACACAATGACTTAAAAGATGTGTTGAATAACAAGTATACACAAAAAGAAAAGTTATAAACATTTTACTTACTGTTTGATGCATTACCGTCACTTTTGAGTGTGTCTTTCGATATATCATTTGAAATTGTATTTTCTTCTTTGCTTTTTTCTACAATGAAACTGTTACATCGGCCGGCGTTAACTGCTACTACCAATTTTTGCACGTAGTCTCCATGTTCTCCACATGCTACCTCAATAACTGAAATAAAAAAAATACTTATTTGCTTATTTGCTTTAAGGATTTTCTTACCATAATCAGCAGGGTTGTGATAGCTGGGACAGTCCAGCCCCATGGTGGACAAAAAGGGCACCAAACCGAGCACGGCGCCCTTGTAGATGCACTGCCCGTCGGCCAGCATGTAGAGATGGTCGAACATCTCGAACAGCCTGGCGGACGGCTGATGGATCGTGCAAATTATGGTGCGCCCGCCTCTAGCCAGCGATTTTAGCAGGCACAGGCATTGGAAACACGACGAGCTGTCCAGACCGCTGGTTGGTTCGTCGAAGAACATTACTGGTGGATTATTAACCTGGAATAGGTATGCTTTTTGAGGTTAAGTTGCGCGCGTATAGCTAACGAAAATTAAACACCGCACAGACAGTTATTTGGACCTAAAACGTGGCCAAAAATCAATTTGGTTAATTTTTATTGCCAGATCTAAGATTTTGTCTCAAAGAAGTTAGATAACATGGCTATCTTTTGGTGTAGTTGAAATTTGAATTGGCCATCCCAGTGCGTAGTACCAGCAGCTAGAACCTAGCGCTCTTTTACATCGTACGTCTTTGTTCGCGACACTCCACAAAAAACATATTTTTGCTGTGTTGTTTCTTATGTTAAAAGAGATTTTGGTGAAAGAAATTAATATGGATGTCGTCAATTAAGGTATGTACAATATTTTAGGCAATATTTTATTTGTGTTATAAACTTTATTTATTTATATCGAGTACTATAATTAACTACCTAGAAATGCTTAATTTTTCTCGTTTTCTTTAACAAACAATGGTGTTTTTAAATGTCGGCAACACGGTGTTGCCGACATTTAAAAACACCATTGTTTGTTGCCAACACCTCGCAACGGAATCCGCAACACATTTTATTAAACTTTAGGATATCTAGAATAATTGCAGCCATCAAAGTCATCCACATGTTTCCACATCACGAAAAAATGTACCTTTGAAAACAGACACTTTAGTGCAATCTTATAAGATTTTTTAGGTAAATGGATATATTTTTTATTTTTTAAAGGGCACAAAAACTTTAATATATGTTTAATTTTAATATTTTTATTGCATGACTTGCATGTAAGTAGCTACTTTATAATTTTTTTATAAATAAATTTGTGAGGTACATTTTTTTATTTCTAGTAAAACTACCAAATATCACTTGTATACCTTTAAAAATATGTTTTTTGGTCATTTGCTACCCTTTTGCCAAATATTTTTGGCCACGTTTTAGGTCAAAATACCGGTCTGTGCACCGTGAAGTTGACAGTCCAAGAAAATTGATGAGGTAGAGTGGGGACGCGTAAGAAATGATTGGCTGTGCAAGAGTAAGAGAGGGACAGAAATAAATTAATCCAATATGGAAGTTCCATAATGGAACCAACCTAAAATGGCGGATTGCCCATTTCTTTACAATAAAAAAATTAAAAAATATGTTTATATTTAAACTTAAAATACTAAAATAAGAAAAATAATTATTGTAATTTGTTTAAAAATAATAAAGAAGAAGAAACCAATACAACATTTTTTTTTACATCATATATTCATAATAAAAAGCATACAAAGCACATTCATAATAAAAAGCATACAACATTTTCAAAAAATATTAAAATTTCAACAGTTTTTAAAACTCAAATATTCAAGATTTTTATTTTTTTATAACTTTCTAAAATTTTTTATTTTTTTAAAATTTCCAAAATTTAGAATTTAAAAAATTTCCAAAATTTTCAATTTTCAAAAAGTATTCAAAAGCCCAAGAATTCAAATTCAAATCTTCAAAATTTTCTAAACTAAAAGCCTTTTATCGTGCGCAAATTCAAATTTCCAAAGTTGTTATAATTTTTAAAATTTCAACAAATTTTAAAACTAAGTTTTCAATGTTTTTAATTTTCTTTTGTGATTTTACAAATGCCCAACATTTTTAAAATTTTCAGTTTTTTTAAATTTCTTAATTTTTAAAATTTCTAAAAGAATTCAAAATTAAAAGCATATCGTGCGCACACTCAAGTTTCAAAATTTCCAAAAACTCATAGTTCAAAAATTTCAAAAATTTAGGAAAACTCAAAATTATCACAATTTTCAAGATTTTTATTTTTTTTATAAAATTCCATAATTTTCAAGTTTTTTTGCCAAAATTATTCAAAAATTTAGAAAAACCCAAATTATCACAATTTTTTAAATTTTCCAGATTTTTATTTTTTTATAACGTTCCAAAACTTTCAAGTTTTTTATAATTTCAAAATTAATTAAAAGCATATTGTGCGCATATACAAAGCTTCAATATTACCAAAACTTTTTAAAATTTCAACTAAAATTTTTACAATTTTGAAAATACTAAAATAAGAAAAATAATTATTTTAATTCGTTTAAAAATAATAAAGAACAGCAAACAATCCGAACAATTTTTTTTATACCCATTTAAATACAAAATTTATACTTCTGGAATAAACTTCTTAAAATAAAGGTTAATTGGCTTATTAAGAACGTTTTGTATCGCCTTGTTTAAAAAGTTAGTCACCGCTTAAACTCAAAATATTTTTTTTAATATCACGCAACAAATAATAATAAAAAATACAAGGTGTTCAATTTGTATGACATCCTAAAAAACTGTATTTCCTTAAACATGTTTTTTTTTTCAAACAACTTACTAGTTCTAGTGCAATGGACAGCCTTTTCCTTTGACCTCCAGACAAATCCGAAGAGTTCGTATCCTTGCACTCCTGCAAGCTCAGCGTGTCCAGAATTTCGTCGATGACGATTTTTTTTTCGGACGTTGTGATTCCCTTCCCCAGTTTGAGATTCGCTGACACTGTCATGGCCTCTTTGACCGTCAGATGCGGCGACAGACAGTCGTCCTGCATTATGTAGCACGACATCTTCCTGAACCTGCGCAGGCTGCGTTCTTTTCCGTTTATTAATACTGATCCGCTGAGGTTTGAGGTTCTGAACCGAAAAAATATATATTCCCTTAATAACTTATTAACTAAATAAAGAATTATATATTCGTACACTGAGAAAAAAGTTTATGGTTCACAAATAAAAAGAATAATTAAATATGGGACAGAAAAATTGTTTATTTATCCTAAATAAATTTTTATTCCTGACACATAAAGTTTTACTAAAGTAAATTTATCCTTATTTAGAGGTAATAAACAATATATTCACTATTAATAAAAAGTATTAGCTACACAGTTTATTTGTCCCATTTTTTTCTCAGTGTATTAAATTAAAAAATATTAATATAAAAATTTGAATACCAAAAATGCAAAAATGATAAAGGAAACCCTTAAACGATGACAACTTAATTGGTGACACTCTGTATATGTAAACCTATTTCATAAGTACAAAGAAATAGTAAAAAAATCTATAATTTGTATAAAATACCCAGAACTATTATTACAAAAGAAAAAAGTTTTTTTATAGGAAACCATATAAAACCTTGAAATCCTAACCTTGGCGACAAATTATAATCTTACAATTAATTGTTCCTATAAAGCATTATAATATCTTCGTGCAGCTTTCCACATACAACAATAAAAATTGTTGTCTTAGTCACAAAACGATAACAAAAGCAAAACTGCGTGAATACGTGTCGTCGGCGTATAAACAATAAAATAACAATATAACAATATAGTGAATCAGCCTCACGGCTCACCTCACTCTTTAAAAGTTTAAACCAATAAATTAAAAAAATATTCAATAGGTATTTAATCTTAAAAAAAAATTAAAAATCCAAAATTTTTTTTTATTATTTTGTTTAAAATATTTATTTAATTCGTTGATTTTGAACATGCGCGAGAAATAAAATGCGGTTGTAGCGCCATCTATTAAACGCTTTTCCAAATGTTAATATTTGCTAAATTAACAATGTTATTTGTTATATTTTAATTCCATGGTTATTTGGTTTGAAAGTTATGCAAACATTATTTGTTAAAAATAGTTAAAATTTAACAATTTAAAAAAAATTAAATTAAACGCAAAACGACAAAATATTAACTTTATAGAATTACCATGGTGGATAAAGAGGCAACCTGTATTTTAGTATTTTAAAATTATTACAGTTTGTATCGACAATATGGTTCTTTGCAAAATCGCACATGCGTAAAAACTTATTTTAGTTCATGTGAGGAGCATCCGTGCAAAACCGGCTATATCTATTTTAATAAAATGTTGGGAAAATGGCAAAAACTCAAGATGCATTTTTGTATCTGTATTTTATTAAAATTAGGTAGGTAATTTTTTTTTAAAGAATCTTAATAAGATATTAGAATAGATATAGATTTTTTAAACCAAAATTATCTATATATTTTTGGTAGTGAAACAGAAAATATTTAATTAATTTTAGTTTAAAAAATCTTATTCTATATACCTTTTTATTTGCAGGATCATTTTCGTAATTCGTAATTTTATAATATATAATATCATTAAGATTCTTTTAAAAAAATATTTAAATAATAATTACCTACCCAAATATTTTCTGTTTATATATATATATATATATATATATATATATATATATTATATATGTTCAACGAACTAAGTGGGGTCCGTACAGGGCAAAATCACGGTAGTTGTGAGGTCCGAGTCAAAGTGAGGTCCGTATATGGACCTCACAACGTTCGGCCTTTGAAATTGTCAACACCACCCTATCTTTCACAGGAGACGCCATTAACAAGTTTTTACTTTGGTCCTCACTTTGTGCACTGGACAAAAAAATGTGTATACTGTAGTTTTATGTTTTGTTATAGGGGGCGCTTCAAAGTTTGTATATTTTCAAGACGTATAACTTCGATGCTTCACCGTGCTCACAAATTGAGGTCCGTCACACTGGCAACACTGCGTACTTTACAAGCGTTGTGAGGAACAGTGCTTTTCTTGTACTTAGGTCTTATTTGATGCGGCTTTGCTCAATTTAAAATTAGCGCCAATACGATAAAAAGTATAATTGCTTAAACACATTATAACAATGTTTTTTGTGGCTGTATATTAAAGGACCGATCAAGCAGAGTACAAACCGGGCTCTGTATATCCTGCAGCATCCACCGCATCTTATAAGGTCCGATTTGTGTGTGTTTGGCGACTAAGCGTAGGTAAGTGGCCAATATAGCAGGTCATCGGTAAACCCTTACTGTTCGAGATGCTTTTATGCATACTTATAACCAGACATCAGTGGCGGATTGGGATTTTGGTTATACCGATATCTCAGTTAGCAAAATTTAAATAAGCTAGTTTTTCAGCGCGCCTTACCAGCCCCCTGCCACCCCTAATTAAAAAAATTCAAATTAAAGTGGTGCAATTCATAATTCAAGTTTATCGCCAAATTTCAAAAATTTATTTTAAAAATCCAATACTTACAGATTTTATACCATTTTTTTAAATTTTAGTTAAAAGAATAATAAAAATTTAAAATGGTATGAAATCTGTAATTCTTAGATTTTTTAAATAAATTTTAAAATTTGCCGAAAAAATATAGTGAATAACTGAGATATCGGTATACCCAAAATCCACAATCCGCCATTGCCAGACATTTAGTAAAACAAATTAGTTGAGCATTTTAATTTTAGACACGTTTAAAAACGTGTCTAAAATTAAAATAAAATAAAAGCAAATTTGTTTTATAAATATAGCATAACGTGATACTAAGAAATATAATTACAAACTTATTCATAGCATCAAATTTAAAACATTATTATAAGTTTGTGATATATCATAATAAACAGAGCAGCAACAGCAGCCCAGCAGATAAGACCTGAAGATGGTACATGAGATTGTACCGAAACGTCCTCAGACATACGGTTCTTTTAAGAACCAAAAACCGACAACACGGAGTAGATCCTGAAAAACCACTAATACATATAACGCCCCTGGAAACCTAAAGCAGAAGCTTTTGTACTTGCAATTTGATTTTAATGAATAGAGGCTCAAAAGAGAGAATAAAAAACTCTATGTAAGCGGTAAAAATTAATTTTAATGTCACCCGACAGATGCCCACTATAACATTTTTTTTATGTCAAAATTCGGAAAAAAATATTAGGGTCGTTTTTTGTAAAAAAAAATAAAAAATAAACAAGTACGCTGAATGCGACATGCTTTAAAATGTATACATACCAAATTTCATCAAAAACTAACAATTATTAACTATTTTAGACAAGTTTGTGGGATACTTCCCGAGTCAAAATTTAAATCGTAATTTAAACCTACTTTGACCTACCAAAACTGATTTAAAACCTGTTTAGTCTGTTTACTCCAATTTAGCACTAGAACAACCGAATTAATCTTCATTTGAACCGATTTAAACCGATTTAAACCTCTAATAAAATTTTTGGTTTAAATTTAAACGTAATTAGAACCGAAAAATCGGGAAAATGGACTTATCTGCCATGTTTTAGGTCATAATTTGGTTATCTTTAGACGAATATAAAACCGTTTAAGAAGGAAATTGTCAGACTTAAGGTTTAAATTACGATCTTAATTTTGACTCGGGTTTAATCTTAAAACTAAGCAAAATTTTATGTATATAATGTGGGTTTAAAAGTACTATAATAAACTAATTTAAAAATTACCTAAAGGTAATAATAAACTTTTTACTCATTGTAAAGGGGGCCCATTAAAATCGTTTGCGGGGGGGCCCACTCAGAATTGGTTACGCCACTGGTACGTGACGTTATCAATAATATCAATCGTATTAATAGCATGATTTATTATTTATGATTTTAATTTCAATGGTTAATTTATTTAATGAGTTATTTTTAAAATACGATTTATTGATTGTTAAAATAATTAATTTGTGAGGTTTTTAAACCAAATAAAAACTTGGGATTTGAATTTAAATTTTAAAGACGAAAGGAAATTGTATTCCGCGTTTGGAAAGTTCGATACAATCTTTGACCTACATCCTCAAAATCCTTACTAAAAATTAATACACTGTGGGGTAAAACATTTTTTTAACTTTTTTTTAAGCTTTAAGCTTAATTTTCATGTATCCGTTTGTCCGTCATCCGTATGTCAGTTTTTCAATAAAATCGTCCGATAAGAAATGTTCTAATTTTCATGTATACGTTTTTTAATGACGTTTAACGGATTGATTTTGCGACAAATAGAAATTATGTGTCAGTATATTCACTTACTAAATTTACCTAATGCATAATTGTCATAGTTACAATTATGTCAACAATTGTAACTTTAACAGTTAGCTGTCTAATAAATTTAAAGGTAGGTAAATATCAGTGTTGTAACGTATCTAGTTACAAGTAACTAGATACAGTATAGATACTTTTTATGTATCTGTTTGTGTAACTAGTTACTTATCCCAATTTAGTAACTATAACTGTAACTAGTTACAAATTCTAAGTAACTAGGTGTGTTAAGATACATGTTAAGATACATTTTTAATTAAACTGCGACTATTATTTATTGAGACAAGGAAAACCCGCCCACTTCCACTTCTGACACAATTTTTAATTTCTGAACGCATCCAACAGTATGTCCATAGAATATATGGTCATACTGTTATTATTATTATTATTTTTTTTAACGAATTTACTTCCGTTGAGTAAAGCAATATACTAAACTGGTTATAAAAGGTTTTAAAAACCGTGGTATACAGTTTTCTGTAATCTGCACTTTTGAGAGTTTGTGTGGAAAAGTATAAAATTATACTAGAGATCTTTAAAATTTACAATACAATTTTACCATCATCAGCAGCAGTAGAAAGGCTTTTTAGTACAGGGGGGCAGCTTCTAACACCTAGATTATCGGATGATAATTTTGAAATGTTATGAATGCAAAAAAAATATTATAAAAAAAATAAAAATAATAAACATGTATATTTTTGTTGTCACTTTAAAATTCCCTTTTATTTGTATTTTAAATTTTTTAAAGCAAAAATTAATTTGAATGTATCTTAAAGTATCTAGATACTTTTTGAAGGTAACTGTATCTGTAACTAGTTACTGCAATAAAATATGTATCTGTATCTGTAGCTAGATACTAAAAATATTGTAACTATTACAACACTGGTAAATATACCTTATAAAAAGAATATACTAGCCCTAATATACATTAAAATGTATAGTTTTAAAAAAGCAGGTCCTTTTAGTTCTAGTTTTAATTTTTTTTTGTTTGTCCTTTCTTTTTTTCCGTTATTCTTATTAAATAAAAACTTAACAGTAAAACATTATTCACATAACGAACGTAATATTTCCGTTTTACAATCTTATTGAAAAAATGTGAAAATATTTGAAAATAAATTATCTTAAAATAACGTTAGGCGTCAAAAACAGATGTGTAGTGACGGATGAGTTAAAATTATTTAACCTTTCTCTGTCAGACGTACGAAGTTGAAACTTGACGGACCGATAAAATGTCATAATTTTCGAATTATAATTGGACCAATAAGAGCGCTCCCGGATGAACGGACTTGACGGACAAACGTATACATGAAAATTAAGCTTAAGGAAAGTTCTAAACCAGCAAACTTAAATTTAAATTATCCAAAAACAAAAACAACAAAAACTCACTTGTATCCTGCTAAAATATTCATCAGGGTACTTTTGCCCGCCCCCGACGGGCCCATGATGCCCGTGAGCTCTCCAGACCTGAATTTCCCATTGACGCACTTCAAAATCGTCTTGTAGCCCCTTTTCCTGCCCTCAGACACGGAATACGACAGATCGTTGAACTGGATGTCGACCGGCGGCCGTTTGGGCAGATGCGTTAGAGATATCATGGGCCGCTTGTTGCTGGGACTGCTGTTAGGCACCTTCCTCAAAGCGCTTGTGACGGTGATGCTGGTCGAGCCATTGCAAAGGTTCGACTGAGATCCGCTGCGACGAAGAAAATCGCTTTCAGACGTGTTTTTGATAGAACACGAATAATATGGAATGGACACCCGTTTTTATTATACACTCGCTCGCGAGTTCGCTCGTGCCCAAGACTCGATACCCAGAGTCATATTGCGCAGGCGTCTAACTGTTTTAGGCAGTTGTAGGAAGTTCCTACAACTATCTAAAACAATTAGACGCCTGCGCAATAGGAATGATACTATTTTATGCCACTTGTTTTTTGGAGGGCGTCCCATAGAATAAATTTAAACAAGTATGGTTATAATATCATTAAAAATGATAAAAATTGCAGACATGTACCTAATTAGTTTTAGTGTTAATAGTATTTTGCATTTCCACTGTAAACAATCGTTTAAAAATAAAAAGCTTATAATGGGTACTACCTACTATTATTTAATTTGCGTAACAATAGATAATTTATCGTAAATTATAATAATTATTATTATGAGTCATTTTTCGGATTAACTCATAACACAATTTAATAATAAATATAAAAAATGTAATACATTAAATTATAATAGTAAAATATACGAGATAATGCGCGTATCTAGATGTACTTTGATTTTTCTACTTCAATTAAGTAATTTTTATTAATAACAAAATTTATTACAACCTCACTCCCTTTCGATTTTAAAGATCATTATAGTCGCCCCTTGTATAATTATAATTATTATTATAATATAATAGGTGGGGCGGTTGTATACAAAAAAAACAAATAATGCCAATAATAATTAATTAATATGCAATAGGAGTTGAAAAGTATAGAAATTAATAAAGTTTAATTAGGCACGAGTGAGCTTGCGAGCGAGTGTTTAATTAAATAAGTGTGTAATTAAATAAATACTTTTAGTATATATATATATTAGGATGGACAAAAAAAATTCATTATACTATATAATATAATATTATCTAAAAAAATATTTAAATTAAATATTTGTATATATGTATTTAAATATATACTACATATATGTACATGTAATATATATCTATTAGGGTGGCCCAAAAAAAAGAATATATTTTTTTCTCGTCTCTTGTGAAAATATGTTGGTTTGTCATGTTTTAAGAGCCCTGACAAAAGATCAGCTCCATTAAAAAAATTTTAGGGGTCACTCAAGATTTTTAAAAATTTCCAAAATCGTTAAAAATTGGATTTTTTTTTATTTCGTTTTTTTTTCCTCGTCTGAATATTATTTTTTAGGTTGAAAATAATAAAAATTCTCTAAATTTCAAATCAATATTTTGATTTCTAAAGGTCGCTAAAAGTTAGTTGATATTTATTTTCAGAGGTCGCTCGAAAACATTCAAAATACTCTACTTTGAAAGTTAAAAAAATCTTGAGCGACCTTTAGAAATCAAAATATCGATTTGAAATTTTCAGAATCATTATTATTTTCAAATTAAAAAATAATATCGGAACGAGAAAAAAATTAAAATAAAAAAAATCCAATTTTTGCGATTTTGGAAATTTTTAAAAATCCCTAAAAAAATTTTAATGGAGCTGATCAGCTCCATTAAAAAAATTTTAGGGGTCACTCAAGATTTTTAAAAATTTCCAAAATCGTTAAAAATTGGATTTTTTTTTATTTCGTTTTTTTTTCCTCGTCTGAATATTATTTTTTAGGTTGAAAATAATAAAAATTCTCTAAATTTCAAATCAATATTTTGATTTCTAAAGGTCGCTAAAAGTTAGTTGATATTTATTTTCAGAGGTCGCTCGAAAACATTCAAAATACTCTACTTTGAAAGTTAAAAAAATCTTGAGCGACCTTTAGAAATCAAAATATCGATTTGAAATTTTCAGAATCATTATTATTTTCAAATTAAAAAATAATATCGGAACGAGAAAAAAATTAAAATAAAAAAAATCCAATTTTTGCGATTTTGGAAATTTTTAAAAATCCCTAAAAAAATTTTAATGGAGCTGATCTTTTGTCAGGGCTCTTAAAACAAATTTTCACAAGAGACGAGAAAAAAAATATTCATTTTTTTTGGGCCACCCTAATATATATGTATGTATTATACATATATACAAATACCTATTTAATTTAAATATTTTTTTAGATAACATTATATTATAATGAACTATATATAACCCTTGTGAGGGGTTATAATTATTATTTGACTATTAAAATAAAAGTAAAAATACTTATCATTATCAAAATTAAAACCTTTATAGATTTTTATACAATTATCAAAACTACAATGTAATAACAACATGTTAATTAAAATTAACATTATAATTGAACTATTTCATAACAACTTACCAATACGTCTGATACATTACGTTACTCAATATATCGAAATTTTTTACAAACAAAAAATGTGCGAAAAACTACTTTTATCCGCATAATTTTGATAAGTGAAATAACTAAAAGTACGAAACATAAAACTATTTTAAGGTTAAATCAGAACTACTCATACAATACATACTAATAACCAAAGTTGTTTTCTTAATTTTGGAATCTATTTTTAAACTATTGATTTAGATTTTCCACCGCGATTGTAGGCCTACGAAAACCTTGTATCGGCAAATTTTTTGTTAAAATTTACGGCCCTTGATTATTATTATTATTATTCATCTAAAAATATATGTACACACACTGTGTATATATTTTTTGCTAACCATCGTTATTAATGGAGCTACAAAGTCGATTCAATTGACAAGTTGGTGACATTTTTTTTGTGATTAAAATGAAAAACAATCGAACGTTGGGTTTTCGAAATATTCACAATAAAAACATTTTTACATATTTTGACAGACAAATTAATTTTGAATAAAAATAATTATTGCATAACTGCCATAAACTTAAAAATAAACAATTAACAAGCTTCTGATTGTTATTAAAATAAAGTAGGTAATAATTTGGTGTTTATGGCGTAAGAAATTACAGCCAAGCCTATCAAATTGAAATTTATAGTTATGTTGTTCTATAATCAAATATCATTTTTTTAACTCTGTAAACTAACCTTAAAACAGTAGCATTGTTGAGAGATTCATTTGGGGGTGAACAGACACTTTTTGCATTGTAAGAAACAGATTCGCCATCTTCGATGTTTAAAGGAAGGTTTATTTTGATGCTACTTTTAGTTTCACCTGCCATGTTGTATGTACTAATGTTGTCTTAAAACCATTGAGATCAGTCTATGTTCAAATCTGAAAAAAAATATAAGGTAATTTATATTTTATTACAATTTTAAATGTTGCCATATCAAGTAAACGTTAATAGGCTTTATAATATACATAAACAATGCGATAATTATTGCATTAATGTACATAAACAATTGCTGTAGTGATTATTTTAATAACCTATGTACCTATACATATACTTAATTTATATATAAATTAAGTTACAAAGGAATACTTAAATAATTTAAACCATAAGGTCAAATTTAAGTTGATATTAAAGTTAAGTGGCTTAAATAGATTTCAATGAATTTTCCCATGCATTTTTTTGTAGAATAACAATTTATCAATAAGAATTCTTATTTTCAGTAAAATTCATCTAACTCAACTTTCACTGTGTGAAAGTCTATTATTTTGGTATTAAAATTCTTATTATTTAGTTACCTAAGTGTCTGGGTAGTATTTTTAAATATATTTTTTCAATAAAATCCAGTATTTTTATAAAATAATATAATTAAAATAAACCTTTGCCAGATAAACTTATGAAAATGCCAGGTAACAAGTATGCTTATGGTATTTTAAGATGTGTGCAACATATATATGAACAAAAACTGAACAGCTGTACTTACCTAGTTATTTTTGTAATGTAAGTGTGTAACTTATTACAAAAATAACTTTATTTTGTAGAACTCTTATCAATATTGTCTATTATGTGCTTCATTATCAATGAGACTACCTATAACATTAACGCGATTATATTCTTTAATTTATGCCAAGTTTAAGGTTGATAACATTTGTTTTGATTCCCAAATTTTATATATAAAAAAATTGGCCGTATAAGTACGTAATACAAATAAATTATTGTAAATACCTAATAACTGAAACTTTTATTTAAATTATTTATAAACTCAATATTATTATTAATAGTTTAGTTTATTATGACGTGGAAACGTTATTTCGCAGTAAATAAATGTTGTGTTTGTAAAATACTGCAATTTTATTGAAATATTGTGTTTAACAAGTTTATATAATTAAGTATTTCTCAAAGTCCAAATACATACATTAAAGTTCGTAGTTAAAACTAAAAAAACATCTAGGTATTTACAAAAAGTAAATATCCTTGAGCTTGCCTAGGGATAGTAGCCTACTACTATAGGTGTTATCTACATAAAAAACATACATTTTAAAATGTCTATTTTGGGTTTTTAATTTCACCCCTTATGGTACTAAAAACAGATGTAAAATAAATTTATTAATAGATTTAAGTCTTTAAAATAACAGTAGGTTTACATATAGAAATAACAGTAGGTTTACATATAGACCTATATATAGATTATAATCTTTTAAGTTCCAGTACACATTTGTGTATAGTATATTTATTAATATTATTTCGCTAATTAGATTAATTTTCCCATTTAAAATACCATTATTTTTATAATTTGTTACCTTAATTTGCGAACACTCTGTAGGTAGGTATAAGCTAAAGTCAAAAAACTAAGCAAATGTGTAGTAAGAAATGACAATATTCTGGCAAAATCTTTGCTAGAATTTAGTGTTCAAAAAAGTTTACAGTGCTTAAAAAATTGATTTTTTTCCAAATTTGACCTTACTTTTTAAATATACTGTATAAAATTGTATTACACAATTATCGTTTTAGGGGTTTTTAGGGACCTATACTACACTGCCCGTCAAAATTAACGCACAACAAGTAAAAAAATCCAACTCTAAAACGCGTTTACCAATCTTTATAAAATTTTGGATAAAAATACTTTAACTTATAATATAATATATAGATATTATCTCAGTTTACGTGTTCAAGAGTTTTTCGAAAAAATATCCTAAAGCCCTTTTATTTAATAATAAAATCGCTCGAAAAAAAGTATAGGGATTTTTGTTGGTATACCCTGAAATTGTTGTACAAATCAAACGAACAGTAACGAAAATTAGAGACGGTTTTTTTCAGATGTGAAAAAAACATGAAAAAAAAGAGAAAAAACGGTTTTTTTGTTTTTTTTTTAAAATCCGCTACAATAAAGCATATTCTGTCAATAAATAACATAAATCTTAAAAAATGGAGTAATTTTTCAAAATGAGTAAAATGTATATTAATATACATTTTACTCATAAGAAACCAATGGCAATATAAAATTTCTTCACTAATAAAAAAAATTCCAAATTTTTTGCGATTTTTCGGATAGCTGTATCTTCGTTAAAAATGGTCGTATTGGAGCCATAAAAAAAGCAATTTAAAGCTTGAAGTTTCTAGTTTTGAGATTTTTGGATGAAAAACGTGCAACGCTGAATCCTAATGAATAAAAAAAATTCGAAATTTGTTTGGCTTTCTTTTTTGGTCCACGGAATGTTCTGACTTAACCACCAATGAATAAATGTTCTTAAGAATTTGCTATTGTTTTTTTGAAAAAAAAATTTCATAGGTAGGTACTCTACATGAATTTCAAAAATCATGAAAAAAGTGCTTTTGATAGCTTTTTGAAAAATCAAGCGCTGAATCAAAAATATTATAGGTAGTTACGTTTTTTAGGACCAAATCAAAACAAGCGCGGCCCTTATTGGTCAATTCGGTGCTGGTGGCGCGTGCATAGCGCGAGACTGTACCTATTTACATTTACTAAATGTCATTTAGTGGCTAATTTTAGTCCATGAACTGGACTGGAAACATAAAAAATTACGCAAATGGGACTAATCTTGAAAAAAAAACCTAAAATATGAAAAAAACGGACCGTTTTTTTTTCAAGTCGCATCTCTAACGAAAATACAGCATTTCAAAGTCGTCAAAAATGACCACTTTTCAGAAATAATGAAAAAGGGGTCATTTTTACCGACTGTATCTTCTTTACTGTTCTTTTGATTTGTACAAAATTTTCAGGGTATACAAACAAAAATACGGTCTTTAACAGCATATTTTTTATTTATTTAAAAAAAATCCCTAAAAGTTATTTTTCGAACCTTTTCTTTATTATTAAATAAAAGGGATTTAAAAATATTTTAAATCTCATAAAGATTGGTAAAAGCGTTTTAAAGTTAGAATTTTTTTACTTATTATGCGTTAATTTTGACGCGCAGTGTATATATAAGTTTAAACTTCCATATATTAAACCATTTATTATTAGGTTCCTAGGTATGTAATATTTACAAAATACTAGTGATTATTTGAATTGCGTGTGCAAAATTGTTTTTTGTAATAAACTATATTTTAACAAAAACCTCTTTATCAAGGACTAAAGTTATTAAACTAATTATAAATATTTCTTAAATTATATACTTACTAATTACATTTGTGTTTAATATCTTTATAGACAATTAAAAAATCATTACCTATTTAGGCACCTACCTAATTATATTTATGGAAAATTAATTTTGAAAGTTGTACTACCTTGTTTTAATGAATTATTTATTTCTTTTTTAAAATTACTCTATTAAAGAACATAGAAAACACAATAGCTATACAAAAGATCCATAATACGACAAGAACTCTATCTAACAAAATACTACAACTTCCCAATGGTCTCCCCTCACAGCCGCAATATTGATCACATAAACTTACCAAAGCTATACTTAAACTAACACATAAACACAAAACACTATTCGGACTACTGTATTTAAACAGAAACTTATATTCCTTCGACCGTCAGCTGTTTCATTGTCAGTTACTGATGAGCAATTTCTGTTTTCACTTCAAGAATCTTGCTGGTGCATGTACGTTGGCAACGTTGCCGATACCTGTCAAAAGTTGGAATAAATGTCCGTAGTAAAAATAAATGTATTTGTAATACTATAAGATACACATTAAGTAAGCTTTTTAAGAGGGCTGTGTAATTATTTTAAGTTGTTTAAGAGTGTTTTAAGTTATCTTTTGTTTGGGTGGTTGCGGACCGCACAGTTGGCAACGCTGCTAATACGACTAAAACCGAATAGGCCGATTAAAGTTAGGTGCGCGTGTACCTGCCTCTAAAAGCTGCATTGTGTTATTAAAGTCGATTTTTCTCTATGCAGATATACAAAAATATGCTTTATGGCCTATGAGGACAGGTAAACCCCGAATTGATGTGCATTGTTGTCAAGTTGTAAAAAATATTACGATTTCGTTGAATTTGTACTTAAAATTTTCTCGTTTCCAGCGACTGTTTATTATTTAAATTCAAAAAATATTGTTATTTTTTGATAATTTACAAAAAATATTTATATTATTTGAAATATTAATTTATTTACGAGGTCTCGTAAATAAATTAATATTTCAAATAATATAAATATTTTTTGTAAATTATCAAAAAATAACAATATTTTTTGAATTTAAATAATAAACACACCTGTGTGTTCAGAAAATAACGGAGAATTGTTAAATTTCGTGGGTTCGGAGGGTCCGGTTGTCATAAAATTTTCTTGTGTAGGTACCAACATAATAAAGAAAATTTTATGACAACCGGACCCCATATTTGTTATATGCCGGACCCTCCGAACCCGCGAAATTTACTATACATGCCCCCGAAGTATGATAAAAACTTTAGCTGTTTTCATTGTTTACTTTGTCTGTAGCAGCCGCTAAGGTTAGACGTGTTTTTATGAGCTCGGCGATTTTCGTTCGTTTAAAGAAATGGATCAAAGAATTTGTATCCAATTTTGCTTAAAAAATGAAATAAACTCTGTGAAAGGCCTATAGTGAGTCTGCTATAAGTAGGGTTGGGAGTTTGACCGGTCAATATCTTTTGTGGTCAATTGACTAGTCAATTGACCGGTCAATTGACTAAGCACCAGTCAAATTCCTTAGTTTTTTCTAAAGAAATGAAGGCATGAGTAAAATTACTGAATTTTAAAAAGAAACATATATGTATTGAAAAACAGCTAACAAAAAATAAAGAAACCATTCTGAGGTACAAAAAAACATTCATATCATTGTTTTTAAGAACATTCACGTCTAGCTCGCAGCAGAGCAGCAACACCAGCCCAGCAGATCAGACCTGAAGATGGTACATGAGATTGTACCGAAACGTCGTCAGACATACGGTTCTTTTAAGAACCAAAAACCGACAACACGGTGCTAGCATGTGTAGATAACGGCACATCATCCTCGTCACTGAACCCACCCTCGCCATTGTCTTTACTCTCTTAAAATTAATTAGTCAAAATGGACCCAGAACACTATTTAAAAAGCATTATTATGATTGCGCCATGGTCCACTACCGAACATTTTTTTAATACTTTTGATATTTTCCGCTAGGTAGCGCCGCCGCCGCGCGCGGTTGAATTAAAACTTTTTGACCGATTTTGAGATGGACAAAATCTGTCCTGTCAAAATGGGTAAAAATCTCGGTCAATTGACCAGGCACAACCCTAGCTATAGCTTATATATAAGTAAAACAAGAGTTTACAAGTGGTATAAGAGTTTTCAAGATGGCCGTGAAGACGTTGAAGATGACTAACGCCCCGAACGCCCAAGCACATTAACAACCGATAAAAGCATGGAAAAAGTGGAAGAAATGGTTATAAACCATCAGAGAAGTCGCTGATGATGTTGGTATATCGATTGGCTCATCCAATGAAATTTTTTTGAATGTTTTGGATATGAAGCGCGTGGCAGCAAAACTTGTTTCAAAATTGTTAAATTTTGAACAAAATTTTTGGCCCAAAACAATTCTGTACGGATGCCTCCATATTCGCCAGACATGCCTCTGTCTGACTTTTTCCTATTCCCAAAAATAAAGAGAACCCTAAAGGGCCGTCGTTTTGCAATGATAGATGACATTAAAAGCTCATCGCTGAAAGAACTAAAGGCTATCCCAAAGATCGAGTTTTAGAAGTGTTTGGAGTATTGGAAGAAGAGCCCCAGCAAACACATAAGTCTGGTAATGTAATGGCCCATTACAGCGTTTAATGGTTAAATGATGGCATTTTTAACCCAAGCTGTTCTTGTACTGGGCCTCTACAGGAATTTTTCGTTAATAAATGTCAATTTAGACCAAAGGCTGTCGTGGTAAGGTCTTGCAATGGCCCTTTTCAGGCAATGATATGTATAATTTAACATTAAAGGCCCACATATGGCAATTATAGGTATCAAGTTAATGGAACTGTAACACACCATTACAGTGCCAAATGTTTTCCTTTGCTTTACTCCATATTTACTAATGAATTTCCTCATGTTAGTGGTATTATGCATATGCATATAGAAAAATAATATATGTTTTGGTATATAATATAATAATAATAATAATATAATAGGTGTATTTTATAATTAATTATTAATGAACTAAACAACTAGGTAGTACCTGTTTCAAGTAAGTATTTTTACTGTACAATTTTTACATTAATGTCGTACTATTTAATAACCTATTTCATGTGACCTATTTTAAAATTTTAAATCTTCCAATATAAAATTAGGTACCTACTTCAAAGAATTAAGTCAAAATCCATGGCGCAACTTTTAGCGCACCATGTTTTGAATATTTAACCCTATTTAATTATCTCTATTCAAAACGAAGCTTTTTTTTAGAAAAATTGCAAATTAGAATCCCATTATAAGACCATTCCTACACTGAAAAAAGTATTGTACCTAATATTAACAATCGGTAATTGTTGACCAATATATGTTGAGACAACAATTTTTATTGTTAATATTACGTACAAATTCAGAAATTTAAGTGATGATGATACTGGCGATTGTTAATAGAATTAAATCCCAATTGTTTTTATAACTAACCGTGATTCATAATATTCACAATCTTTGTTCATTGTTATAACAATTAAATTTTGTTTCTATTATTATTCCTATTGGAATTATATTTTTACGCACACTTTAAAAACTTTAACGAACAGCTATAAAACTATTTGTTGTGATAACAATCGAAATTTATTACGCCACATCACTCTATATTTTAATATAACTTTTACTAACATATTTCAAATAATTTGTTGAGACAACAACCAGAATTCGTAGCAACACCCCTTTTCCTTAAGTTTTGATTTTTTGCTTGACCCAGTTTTCCGATTCCTTTCCTAGTTTAGTTTATTAAACTAGTGGGTGTGTATCGTTGTATTTTTTTGGCGCGTCGAAAATTATATGTGCAATTTATGTATCCCGACTCTTCTTGACAACAAATACAGGTAAGCTAGTGTTTTTTTATTTTATTAAGGTAAAAATGATTTGTTTTATTTGCAAAAAAAACATTTGTTCTCTAAATTTGCTCATACATATCATTTCAAACGAAATCATGACATAAAAACCAATTCATTAGTAGGGTGTACTGAACTTAATTGTGGACAAAGCTTCCAAAACATTAGCAGCTTTAAAAGACATGTTAATAGAAAACATTTAAATGAAAAACTGGATGTTACCCTAGACGTTATAGATAAACCAACCGAAAAACAAGAAATATGTAATAACAACATGTAGTTCGCAACAAGCTATTTCTTAAAATGTGGATAGGAATAGCTCCATTTTTTGTACGTCAACTGAAGCGTCTATAGGATCTCTATAGAGGTATACTGCCTAATCCAGTATCTTTTAATGCATCTGATATTAATTACAATGAAAAAAATCAAAATCAATTTAAGTTTGATAAAGAATTATTTGATAAGTTAATTACTGAACTTGTGTTACATCTTCATAATAATTATTATTATAATTATTATTATTATTTTTAATGTGCTTTCAACAGGCACCAGGCCCAATTACAGAAATACACAATGACAAACACAAATAAACAACCATACCCCTGGTGGGATTCGAACCCACGACCTCTCGGCTTGTAGTCCGCAGTGCTAACTACTACACCACCGAGGGCGGTAACTTTAGTAGAAAAGACGTATTTAAAATCCAAGAATTTACTTATCAGTTTATAATAAAACCCATGATACAAAAAAACAAGGTATGTTCTTGCGCATCTGTTTCCACCACTCCATCAGATTGGCGAAGAGGTGGGAGCACACAGTCGCCGCCATATTGACTATTTACATTTTGATGTGAGTTTTTTTAAGATATTTTAAGTGCAAGTATAAAAAAGTCTGCCTGCCAAGTGAAAATCTGTAAAACGCCAAAAGAAAAAAACCTGGAAATACATTTTCTTAGTAAGGGCTTGAACAAAAATTTTTGATGGTAAGTAGATTTATTTTAAAAACAATTAAATAGCAGTAGTTTTTTCTTTTTGTATCCACATATTATCTGTGACAGATATATAAATAATAATTTAAGTTAATATTTTTGTTTGTTTTGTAGCTTGTATTTGTTCCATTTACTTCCTATAAGAAGGAAAAGTGGATCAAAAAAACATACAAAGAACATTCCCATAAAAAAGTCTTTAAAAGTGGATACGGTTCCAACTTTACAGCTGATCTATCAAAGGAGATATCAAGTACTTTGTAAGAAATTAAAATAAAATTGGAAAAAAAACAATATTATATATAATTCTTTTTACAGTGTACAAGAAATAGGACAAAACCAGGGAGTATAATATGATCTTTGAAGACAGCCCGTAACAGAAATTTAAGTACTGCAGTGTAAAAAATTAAAATAAAATTTGAAAAACAAATTAATCAAAATTAAATCTTTCTTTTTACACTCTGCAGAAAATGTGCCAAGACAAGGAAGCTAATTAGCTTTAATGATCTTCAAGGACAGTCCATAACAGAAACTTAAACTGCAGCATGCTGCTCCATGGTCGCCAATTTACAATTTTGTAATAAATAAATTTAGAAAAA